AATATACAAACTGCTATTCTATTTCCATAGAGTTCAAAAACAGGCAGAACAAAAGAAGTCATTGCTTAGGAATACTCACATAGTGATAAATGTATACATGTATATATGATAATACATTATAACATATTTATGTATGCATAATATATAACAATTTCCTATATTGTTATATGTATCTAATAAAATATATTAGAAATAATACATATATACATTGTACATATGTTTCATATATATAGAAACAAAAGAAGGTTTTATACATATGATGGGAGAATGATTTACACAATCATCAAATTGATGGTGATTTTAGGGACTCCTAAGGTACTGATAAAGTTCTGTTTTTTATCTAAATGGAGGGTTTTTATGTGTTTATTTTATTATATTGACTGTAAATAAATATTTTTGGACCCATTTTGCATATAAAATATAGTCCACAATAAAACTTCCTAAAGGGGTGCCTGGGTGGCTCAGTTGGTTACATGCCTCACTCTCGATTTCAGCTCAGGTTCATGATCTGGGGGTCATGGGATCCAGCCTCGTGTCCAGCTCTGAGCTGAGCATGGAGCCTGTTTCAGATTTTCTCTCCCAAGCCTTCTGCCCTCCCCTACTCGAGGTCACTCTAACAAAGATAAAAAATAAATTTTAAACATTTTTAAAAACAAAGCAAGCAAAAAAAAAAAAGTAAAAAAAAAAAAACAAAGCAAGCAAATAAGTTATAAGCCTCCTTTGGAAGAGGAAGCCAAGTATATATGAAATATCTTGGTGGAGGTTATTCCCCAGGCACAGGAAGGTGTGTTCTAGAACATGATGCTAGGGAGGCACCCAGCAGAAAATCACGGAGCGAGGGTGCGCTGTTCTCTGACCTCAGCCTTTCTTTCTTTTTTTTTTTTTTTTTGACCTCAGCCTTTCTTCTCTCAGTTCAGGGTTCTAAGTTCTGCACACCACACGTCATCTAAATTGCTTCCACGAGGCAGTGCTAGAGCTCAGGTGAGGGCATTCTAGGAAAGCAGATTTTATCTCTCTGAAAGAGGAGACAGCAAAGGAAGAGAAGTAAGGAAAACAACATTCAATGGCCTCATGGCAACATTTCCCAGGAGATCTCAGAGACATCTACCCAATCTTCCATTGCTGGATCATTTAGGGGGTTTCTAAATGTCACGCAATTGTAGAAATCGCCATCCTGAACACTTGTGCTTACAGGATGGCCCACATCTTCTCTAGAATCTTCACGTCAGAAAAGCTCCGGAGCAACACGGTGGCACAAAAGGCATGTGTGTTTTTGTGGCCCTGAAGGTTGACATCTATGAATTGCCACATCACCTTCTAGAAGAATCATTTCAATGGAGACTCCACCTGGCAATGCCAGTGGAAACACTTCCTTTGGTTTTTGGGCTCCTGAGAAAGGTAGTGAGTGCCGCGTCCCTGGGGGGGTTTAAGTAGGTGTGATGTGACAATCTGCTCACTCCTAGGGTTGCTAGGAGCAAGAGGGAACTTGGATTGGTTACAGGTAAGACTCAGGCACGCTGAAGGAACTCTGGGTCTCTTTGGCTAAGACTGAAATTTCCGATTCCCTTGTTCCTCTTTGACGTACCCCCTTCAAGCCTTACCACTTCTACTCACGTTCCTGAGATACTGGCATTAATCCCAGAATTACAGCGTGCACTGAGGATCCCGGACAGGGGTGCTGAGTGTTGGGCAGAGCCGGCCTGAATGATGCAGGATGCTCGGCCCGAGTGGTAAAGGGGACTCACTTGAGGTCATACAGACCTAGGTGCAAATCCTGTTTCTGCCACTTCCCAGTGGGAGCCGTGGGGCGAGGTCACTTTATCTCCTCAATTTTCCTGCTTTGTGAACCCAGGATCACTGTAGCCCTTGCCCCATAGGGCTGCTAAACGGGACAAGCATGTGAACCCGTGCTACAAATGGAAGTCTCCAATCAACGGCCCATATTTATTTTTATCGGTTTGAGGTTTGTCCAAAAGACATTGAGGACAGGCCCAGCCCACATGTGATGCTGTGGACAGCTGTACACTCATTGAGATCTGAGGGTCCTTTCTGCTCCTACCTCCAAAATATAACTCCCCTCTGCTGCCATGCATGCCACCTAAATATGCACCATTAGTCACTTCTGTGGAGTAACGCAGGGGGCCAATCGTACTTTCCAGACATAGTCACATCAAGAGTTCAAATATCACACACTCTCCCTTTTTTTAAAAAAAGATTTTATTTATTTATTCATAAGAGACACAGAGAAAGAAGAGGCGGAGACACAGGCAGAAGGAGAAGCAGGCTCCATGCAAGGAGCCTGATGTGGGACTCGATCCCAGATCCCAGGATCACACCCTGAGCCGAAGGCAGACGCTCAACTGCTGAGCCACCCAGGCATCCCTCACACACTCTTCCTGTGATACTACTTTGACATATCTCCCCCTGAAAGGTGGGATCCATTTTCTCTCCTTGAATCTGAGTGGACCTGTGTCTATGGTGTGACATGGTGACACAGTGTCCCTTCCACAGTTAAGTCATAAAAGGCAATGGAGCTGCTGCCCTGTCCCCTGGAACCTGTACATGCATAGTCTGAGCTGCCCCAGCCCCTGGCCATGCCATCGGAGGAGTCCGGCTGCCTGAGGCTGCCAGGCCCAGAGGAAGCCCAGAGACCAGCCTGTGCAGAGAGATCCGATGGAGACGCCCCAATATTCCCCGTGGAGAAGAGGAACATCCAGGCAGCCCGTGGCCTCCCCAGCCCAGCCACTACGGGGCCCCAAGCACAGAAGTGACCTGCTCCAGTGCCACCCTGCTGAGCCATTCCCAAATTCTGGACTGACAGAAACCCCGATGTGTAATAAATGTGGTTGTTCTGAGGATGGAGCTATCGATACCTGGTATGAGCATAAAATATTTCACTTAAAGTCAACATTTTCATCTACTGTGTGTCAGGTCCTTCTACCTTCGGCAATAATAATGACAGTGATAATGATAATACTAGCAGCTTCCATGTATTCAGCTTTTACAAGAACCAGGTTCTTGTAAAAAAGTAGGTGACGGGGTTTACATATATGATCTGAGTGCATCCTGACTACACTCCCGGGCATGCCCTGCAGGTGCCGTTCGTAACCCCATTTCTCAGATGAGGACACTGAGTGAAGTTCAAAAAGAGTGAATGACTCTCCCAAGGTCGAGTAGCCAGTAAGAGGCCTAGTTAGGATCTGAACCTGGATTGGGTGACTTCAAAGGTCCTCATATGATGATGACCCTGTGATGTCAAAATGGCCTTTCCCAAATGGGGGAATAGGCCCTGATTCTGAACAGTGTCCACCAGGGCAAGAGCAAACCAGAGTCTCTGTCCCAGGCCCTGTTTGTCTTCTGTGTGTGTCCCCCAAAATTCTTTTCCTCCCTTGGCTCTTTCCTAGGATTTCCCAACACATACTCATCTCCTCCCCACCCCCATCCCCCAACTGCCCCCAGAGTGGGGGACGAGGGGGAAGACAAGGAGATAGCGATCCGCTAGTTCAGCTGAACTAGGATGGTGACATTGAGTTCTTAGGCTGGCTGGGCCACCAAGTACCAGTCAGGGCCCCATAAGGAAGGACTTTGGCTCCACACTCAGCAATTTTGGAGCTACTTCCCCAAGCAGTGGGTGGCCTGGGGAGCAATCATCCCCCCACCCCTACAGACACTAGCTGTGGGCACCACTGTGCTAGCTGCCTGTACCTACATACAGGTGAGCTTGGCCTGCCCCCTGCTCTGATGGGCTCCCAGCTGGCGGGGGATCAAGCATGCCAGTCCCTGTATTGCAGGATTCATGGAATAATGAATGGCTGCAACGGTGCCTTCCACGGAGGGAGTATTTACTGAGCCATGAGGCAGGGAGCCCAGGGCTTTACACACAGTGTAGGACTGCATCTTGCAAGGACCCCATGTGGTAGGTACTATTAAAATCCCCATTTCTCAGGGAAGGAAAATAAGGCTCGGGGTGTGTTTACCAAGGGTTGCACAGAAACCAGACGCTCTGAGACTCCAAATACTGCACGTTCTGGACCTGGATGTCATCAGGTACAGAGAGGGTAACTGGAGGTATGGTCTTTGAAAGCAAGGCACCTGGCTGGGAAGGTGCGGGCTCTGGCGGTTGGGGGAAGGGGACGGAGGTGGGGTTGGGGTGGGGTGCAGGACGGGCATTGGAGCTGGGCCTGGCAGTAAGAGTTTGTCGGGTGGAGGAGCCAAGTTGGCATCGGGGCAGGGAGCTCAGGGGGAGCAGGGGTGCAGCCGTGTGTAAGCGGCAGGGTGTTTAGGCCTTGGGGAGCCCTTCCCGGGCCCGGTCGGGAGTTCGGCCGGCCAAGGAAAGAAAGGGGTGCGAGGGCTGGACGCTGCGTGGGGTCGCCGCCTGCAGCTGATGGGGGCAGCCGCAGGCCCAGCCCGGTCCCTGCCACCCGCAGGCGCGAAGGCGGCGAGCACCGACCCCCCGCAGGCCGGAGCCGGGACGGGGTGTGAGTGCAGCTCGACCCCGCGTCTGCCCCTACGTGCCAGGTTCTTCTTTTAAGAGCGGAACCACTAAGGGGAGCGCTGACCCCAATCAGCAAGGGTCGCGAACTTGCTTGAGGCGTTTCAGGCGGGCCAGGCCGAGGGTCCGCGGGTGAGGCGGGACCCGCCCCTCCGGGCACCTCCCCCAGCACCGCTGCTCGCCGCTCATCCCCGACGCTCGGGGCACAAACCCCCTAGTTCCCTCCTCTAACGCTCCCTCTTCAGCCTCCTGCCGTCGTTACCCGCTAGGTTTTATCTCAGCTTCCGCTTGAGCTGCAAAAGCCGAACCCACAGGCCCTGGAGTGAAAGAAAGTGGCTGGTAGGGAGGACACCACGGCCGCCCCTCGCCCGCCCCCCTCCCCGGCACCGGGGCCTCCCCAGAACCGCGCGGGAGCCTGTGCCTTTAAGGGAGGGGGCGGGGCCAGCCCGCGGGGGGCGTGTCCGGGGCGTGTCCGGGCGTGTCCGGCGGGCCGGCGGGGGCAGGGCCGGGGAAGTGCTCCCGGCTCTGCCACCCGCGGGGCGCCCGGATCCGCCGCGGCGGGGCAGGGGACCGGGAAGGCCGCGAGGCTCGGCGCGGTCGAGGTGCGGAGCTGGCGGGCCCCAGGCCCGGCCCGAGGTAAGCGCAGGCTTCTCGTCCGCCAGGGCGCCGCGGGAGGGCCGGGCGCCGGGACTTCAACTTCTCACCCTCCGAGAAGCATCGGGCAACAGCGCCCCGGCGCCCCGGGGTCGGACACCTGCTCGGTGCAGCCGCAGAGAGCGCTCCGGCCCCGACTTCCCGTCCGCGCCGCCCGCTCTGGGGACGGCGGTGGTCGGGGCGCGGGGCGCGGGGCGCGGGGCGCGGGGCGCGGGGCGCGGGGCGGGCGCTCAGGAGGCGCCCAGTGCTCCCTGTGAATGAGCACGAGGAACTGGCAGCCAGCAGAGGAGGCACGTGGTGATCCCCAAGCTGGCGACACCCGAGGTGCAAGCATTTATCGAGCTCCTATTGTATGCCCCGATGGGCCAGCATTTGTCCCCATTTTGCAGACGCGGAATCGGAAGCTCAGAGAGGTGAAGTGACCTCCCCAAGGCCGCAGGCTCCTACGTGGCTGGGGCTGAAGTGGAAACCTGGTGCCAAGTTTCAGGAACCAACAAAAGAGGGAAAAGTTAACAGGTGAGAAAAGAGCAGTGGGACAGGCCTCTTCTGTTCCTCCATTTCTCTTCTCTTCCTCTGGGGCCTTCTCCACCCCTTCCTGCCCTCAGGTCATTGAGAAATAACTATGCAAAGAATTACAAAAAAATAAATAAATAAATAAATAAATAACGTTGTTTTCTGAACTTTGTGTCTGCTGATGGCAAAAACAAAATGTGCTCGTCCACAGCGGGCGGGTGGAAGAGCCCAAAGAACAAAATCGGTGTGCCAAGGACTTGGTTTCTTTCCTCCAGTTTGAGGTCTTTGGAAGGATTGAAGCTGGTTTTGCCCCGGCAGTGAGGGAAAAGGCAGACGCTAGAATCCAGCTCGGCTCTGCTGCTAACAGCCTGTGTGATTTTGAGCAACTCACTTCCTTCTAGACCTTGATTTCCCCATCAGAGGAGCTGCTGTTGGCTTTGTGACTTCCTTGCCGTGTGACTTTGGGCAGGTTAGGGAACTCCTCTGAGCCCAGCCCTGTCCTCTGTAAGACAGGCAGGTACAATGACCCCTCCACAGTCGTCCTGAGGACTAGAGGAGAGATGTAAGGCACAATGGCTGAGCGAGGACATGGACCTGGCCCCTGGCCCAGGTTTGCTCATCTGTGAAATGGAAATAATAACAGTCCCTCCTCTTGGCCGGTTTCCGGAATTAAATGAGGTCATCTTGTGATAAGTGCTTAGCTCACTGTAAGACCCAGAATGGCATTGCTTAGTCGTCTCAAATTGGTGGCCCAAAGGCCAAGTCCACCCCCAGAAATATGTTTCTATAGTTTTGAGGGCTTGCCAACTCCCCACCACTGCCCGCTTCTGGTATTTATTTCACTTAGCTGGCCCCCCGGAGCTGAAATCTCTGGAGTCCCAGGATTCATCCTTCCAGCCCGGATATTCCAGTCTCAGGCTAGGGGGTGGGTGTGGGTGGGAGAGGCCTGCATCTCCATGGAGACACTATCGGGTACTTAGGAAGGAGGGCATAACTAATCCGCAGGCTGAAGTGGTGGTGGGGGGGAAGCCTGGGGCCCTCCACAGAGCCTCTATGGGGAATGCGGTTCTACACTTGGCTTTCCTTTGTAGGGTTGGGGTAGGGAGGGCAGTTTCCTCAACTGAAAAACTTTTCAGTCCCTTCCTGCACAGGCCTAGGCTCTTTGGTGACGCTGTCCCTCCTTGTCACCTCACTCTCTACAGGCCTCCGGAGCTACGGGTTGTTTGGAAGTGAAACACTGCAGAAGGGGAAGCAGAGAGCGAGGGCCGGCCTCCTTGGGGGCTGATGGCCAGCAGACAGCTGAATCTGCAGCGGGTGCTGAGTTTATTCTGTGTGCTGCTGATGGTGGAGACCGTGTCCGGGGCCAGAGGCTCACTTACAGAGGCCCACATCGGCCCCCAGTTTTCAGCCTCAGGTGTGAACCAGACACCCATGGATGATGTGAGCATCCAGGTAGGAAGAGGGCATCAGGTGCGGGTGTATTCATCCAATCAACAAATATTTCCTGAGCATCTACTATGTGCCAGGCACTGAGCTGAGCCCTGGGGTCTACCAGGGAACAATATAGACAAAGATCCCTGCCTGCCTTCGTGGAGCTAACAGTCTTCTGGGGGGATGGAAGAAGCACAGTAATAAATTTCAGGTGGTAAAATGTTAAGTGTTTTGCCAATTACCTCTCTGGGTGGGAGGTGTGATGGGGAAGGTGTATTTCCAATGATTTCAGAGTCAGGGGTCACAGGTGGCTTCTGTGAAGAAGTGATCTCTGAGCCAAGCCCTGAATGGAAAAAGGAAAATCACTTATACAGACATCTGGAAAAAGAACGTTCCAGGCAAGTTTGCTAGTCTGTCTCCAGGAGAGACTAGCAAGTGCAAAGACCCTGAGGCAGCAGCAAGCTTAGTATGCCCCTGGAGCAGTGAGGAGGCCAGAATGGCTAGAACAGGGTGAATGAGGGAGAGAATGTTAAGAGATGAGGAGATGGGGATGAAGAGGTAATTGGTGGTCAGATTACAAAAGGCTTATAGGCTGAGACTAGGAGATGATATTTGTTTATAATAGTTGGGGGCCGTGGAGGGTTTTGAGCAGAGGGATGTCAAAATCTGATTTATCTCTTCAAAGCAGCTCTCTGGCTTCTCTAGGGAGAATGAATTGAGAGGAGCAAGGGTGGCTGCAGGGAGACCAGTGGGGGGCTTTTGCAGTTATCTAGGTGAGTGGTGGTGGTTGGGGATAGGAAGGGATTGGAGGGATTTAAGATAAATATTGGTGGCACAATGAGCGAGAGGTACTGATGGGTTAGACAGAAGGGCATGGTGGTAGAGTAGAAGAGAGATTTTGGGGGGGTTGGGGGGTGGATATTGGTGCTGTTGACTTGGATGTATGGAGGGAGGAAGAATGGGACCATCTTGGTGAGAGGCAGGAAGTCTTCCTCCCAGGCAGAGAGGGGATAGGTCACTGAGACAGGCCGTGGGAACTTGAATTACGCCATTCTGATGTCTGTAAGCAGAGGACAGGTCACAGTGAAGCCTGAGTTAAAGACTGAAGGCAGGGGACTGCTCACTATGACCCTCTGGAGTCCCTTCCACCTGCAAGGGCCTGGAGATCCTTCCATTCCCCATTCCCAGGAGAATGGAATAACAGGCTCCACCCCTCCACCCCCCACTTGACCTGAAGGGCTGAGTGTTTGGTGCCCATGCCAACTTTGTGGGGCTGCAAGGTACCTTCATGCCTACCTTCAGAGGCTGGTGAACGGGTCATTATACCCATTTTATAGAAGAGAAAGTGGTTTGTGGTTACTGTGGTCATAAAATTCACTGTTACCTCTCCAAGGAGAGGGGCATGCTCCTCGGGGCAGGAAGACTGCGGTAGTCTGTGGCTTGTGCCAGATAATCTCTGAGTTATTGGGCACTTAGGCCAGCGCTGTGTCAGCTCACTCCCCTAAACCTCCAGAGATGGGTCTAAACATCTCTGTGCTGTAGATCAGGGTGCTAAGGTTTAGGGAGGGGAAGCTGGCCAGAGCCAGGAGAGGGCCAAATATTTCCCTGGGTGTCCTTAGTGACTCAGGGAAGAGGATGAGGAGGGAACAGGGAAGAGCTAAAAAGTCACCCACCCCAGACTCAGAGCAGTGCCATGTAACTACACCACCCAGGGCAGAGAGCTGGGGACAGGTGGTGGTGGGCCTTGGCAGGGGTGGTTGGGTGGTTGTGGGGTGAGCATGACCCCCTCAGGATGGGTGCAGGGAGGATGCAGAGGAATGTGATCCTGGAGGCTGACTGGGGGACCTGCCTTGCTAGCTCACGCTGCTGTCAGGGAGATGGAGACAAGCTGTGGTGGGAGTGTCTCCCTGCATCCATCCTGGCTGACCCTGAGGATGGGGAGGATGGAAGGAGAGCAGGCAGGAAGAGGCTACCCTTGCCGAGTTGGGCTGTTTCCCCAGGAGCTTCAACTAGTAACTTTCAGGCAGAGCTGAGTTTGAGGGGTGGGTTATGTGCCCTTGGGCAAGTCACTTTGCCTCTCTGTGCCTCAGTTTTCTAATCTGTTAAGTGGAAAGAATTGTGCTGACCTCCGGGGCCTGTCATGAAGCCTGAGTGAGACGGTGCCCAACACAGTGTGTGGCAAAACAGTTATGAGGACCTCCTGTGTGCCAGGCACTGGGCAAGACTTTGGCAGGAGAGGTAGGCACTAAACAAGTCTATGATCCTACAAATAACTGGAGATTTCAAAACACATAAGTACTTGGAAGGAGAGGACCTGGGGTTGTGAGAATTTATCACTGGGGGATCTACCCTAGGCTGGAGGTGGTTAGGGAAGACTTCCTAGAGGAAGCATCTGGAACTGAGGATTGGAGGATGAACATGGATTAATGAGGACAAAGATGGAATGGGGTACCGGGCCGAAGGGACGGCAGGGGCCATAAGTACAGCAGGCTCGGTGTTGCATTGGCAGAGAGCCAGGGGGCAGGATTGGGGTGATGGCCAGAGAGTTCAGAGTCCAGTAATCTCACCCGCCGCGTGGTGTTGGTGGGAGTTCAGAGAGGGCTGAAGGGTGTGGAGCCCCACGATTTGACAGTTATTTCTCTTTAAATTATGGTGAAATATACATAACATAAAATTCACTATCTGTGAACTTTTTCTGTGTGCTGTTCGGTGGCATTAGCACGTTCACACTGTCATGCGGCCGTCCCCACGATCCACCTCCAGAACTCTTCCATCTTGCAAAACTGAGATTCCATTAAATGAGAACTCCCCACGTCCTCCTCCCCCCACCCCTGCTTTCTGCTTCAGGTCTCCAGGAGTTTGACTAGTCCAGGTACCTCCTATCAATAGAGCTAATGGGTGTTTGTGTTTTGGTGACTGGCTTATTGCACTGAGCATAGTGGTCTCTATTATGGGTGCCCAGAAGGTTCATCCGTGTAGCACGTGTCGGAACTCCCTTCCCTAAAGGCTGAGTAATGGTCTGCCGTATGGATATGCCACATCTTGTTCATCCATTCATCATCCCTCAGGGACATTCCAGTGGCTTCTGATCCTTTTGGCTGTTGTGAACATGGGCATGCACATTTTCTCTCTGAGACCTGGCTTTCTGTTCTTTTTGGTATATGCCCAGAAGCGGATTTACTGGATCATAGGATAATTCTACTTTTTCCCACTGTTACTGAGAAGGAATGGACATCCAGCACTCTGCAAGTGTAAGGCCTACAACACAATGAGTCAACTTACATATATTGTAAAACGGTGACAATAAGCCTGGTTAATATATCTCATCTCATATAGATATTTTATTTACTTTTTGTTTATTTTTTAAGATTTTATTTATTTGTTTATGGGAGGCACAGAGAGAGAGGCAGAGACACAGACAGAGGAAGAAGCAGGCTCCTTGCAGGAAGCCCGATGCGGGGCTCAATCCCAGGACCCTGTCACGAAGCTGAAGACAGACACTCAACCACTGAGCCACCCAGGTGCCCCGATATTTTTTTTTAAAAAAAGGAAAAAAATTTTTCCCCTCATGATGAGAACTCTTACGATATATTGTCCTAACAGCTTTCATACCTACCAGACAGCAGCTCTAACCGGTCACCGTGCTGTGCGTCACATCCCTGTACTGGTAACTCTCTTCAATTTTGGGGGGGAATCGCCGTGTTTTTTTTCCCACAGCCCCGCACCACTTGGCATTCCCACCAGCAGTGCACAGGGGCTCTGACTCCTCCCCATCCCGGCCAATACTTGCTATTTTCTGGCTTTGTTTGCTTTATATAGTAGCTATCCTAATGGGCATGAGGTGGTATTTACAAAGCGTTTAACAGAAAGTTTGAGAAGGGGGAGGGACCTCTCCAGGCAGAGGAGGACAATGCTTAAGCAAATGCACGACACGACGATGGATAAATATCCATTATATAGAGCGCTGCTTCGACAAGTCACTAAGAGGAAGCAAACATTCCAAGAGAAGAGGCTGGCAGTCCGAAGGAATACAGGTGGCCGTCAGCACACGAGAAGGGCACTGACAAGTAACCAGGGACTTGCAATTGAACAGTGAGGAGATTCCTACCACCTCGGCCTGGACAAGGCTTAGTGGCAGGTGCAGGTGCGAGTGTGTATAAGTGAGGCTTGAGGGAGTGTATTTTGGCAGAACCCATCAAATGTCTAAGCTACTTGTCCTTTAGCAAGAGGGATGGGTCCAGCCCATATCTTTTGGATGCTACCATTTTGGTGGGTTTCTGTTGACTTCTAGTTGCCAGCATCTTTTTCCAGAACTGCCCATAAGCATGGTAGGCAGGAAGTGCTGGGGGACCGGCATCTCCCTCCTCAGCATCTTCACCTGATGTCCGATAGGAGTCGGTGTATAAATACCACAGCTCCCCTGCCCCTGGGATTACGAGCCCTGGGAGGGCTGTCCCAATCTGGCCTCGCTGGCCTTCCTTCTCCCATGGCCCCATTGTGATGCTTGTATTTCATACACTTCCCAAATATGTACTTACTCATAAATTCTTGTTTCTGGGGGAACCTAGACTATGATGCACTCTGAGTCAGTACTTTTACTTCTAGAATTCTCTTTTTCAAAATATCCTCACATGCACTCAGAGAGTCATGTGAAAGGATGTTTGTTGCTGGGAATACTAAAAAATCAGGGGCGATATGCCCACCCCTGGGGAAATGTTACCCTTCCCCCCTGGCTGCCTCTCATGTGTCATTCAGAGCATGAAATGTTCCCCTGATGTTTAAAGGACTCTACAGGAGGGATGCCTGGGTGGCTCAGTGATTGAGCATCTGCCTTTGGCTCAGGGCATGATCCTGGGGTCCTGGGATCAAGTCCCACATTGGGGTCCCCACGGGAAGCCTGCTTCTCCCTTTGCCTATGTCTTTGCCTCTCTCTGTGTCTCCCATGAATAAATAAATAAAATCTTAAAAAAAAAAAAAAGACTCTACAGGGAGTCCACAGGGAGTGTGATGGTTAAGGACAGGGTTCTAGAACCTCAAACCAATTGGATTCCAACCCTGTCTACCACTGAGGGGACCCAGGACATGACCTTAGTCTCCTTATCTGTGTATGGGGTGTGATAATAGTCTCTTCCTTGCAAGACTGTGAGACAGATTAATTGAGATAACATTTTAAGGTTCTAGCACTGTGCCTGGCATATAGAAATTACTCATAATGCTTTGACTTTTATCACCTTCTTCATCATTACATGTACCAATATATTAATAGATGGCATTTAGGTGAAGTGGTAAAAGGGAATTGTAGAAACAAGAGATTTGAGGTGGATCCATTTCCGTAAAACAAAGCCAACTGTGTAATAGGTTGTATACACAAGGTCTTTATGCCCGTACAGGGCCCTGGAAACTGATCGTGGTAGGAATTTTGGACAGAGGTGGAATTATGGGGTGTAGGGATGAGAAAGGGGAATTTAGAAATCTTTATATATTGTTTGGTTTTTGTTTTGGGGAACAAAGACGTATTCATGAATTACTTGTGTAAACAAGTTTATTAAAAAAAATTAAAGTGCACAGTTGACACTTGGAGGGTGTTGGGGGTGCTTAGGGGTCGGGCTGAAGGAGGTGGTCTTCAGCTACTTACAAGGTCCTGGTCCAGCTGCCCTCAGGGTGTTGACCCCTGACGCCCCCCTCCATCCCTTCCTGCAGTGTCGTGAGGTGTGCAGCCTGAATGTCTCTGACCGTTGTGACTTCGTCCGGACCACCCCTGACTGCCGCAGCGAAGGGGGTTACCTGAATTACCTCGAAGGCATCTTCTGCAGCTTCCCACCTCACCTCCTCCCTCTGGCCATCACACTCTATGTGAGGCCCTGGCCCAGGGGTTAGGGGCTGAGCGGGGCTGGTGGCCCAAGTTGGACCTAACAGTTCCCTTCCCGCTCTGCACCCCCTCACCCCCCACTCCCCACAGGCTTTCTGGCTGTTTTACCTGTTTCTGATTCTGGGAGTCACCGCGGCAAAGTTGTGAGTGTGGCCTTGGGCTCACATCCAGCTTATAGATGGGAACAGAGTCCCCGGGAGGCTGGCATTCGGGTGACCCCGGGTTTAGGGGAAGGATGGCCGTGAAGGCACACAGTTTGCTTTTCCTCCGTAGCTTCTGCCCTAACTTGTCTGCCATCTCCACCACGCTCAGGCTCTCCCACAATGTGGCAGTATCCTTTAGTCCCGGGCCTGGGCCCCGGAGGCCGGAGGGCGGCTGGAGGGGTGGCTGGGAGACGGGGTGGCGACTCGTGGCCCCAGAAAGGTCGGGCCGGGGCCCCTGCTCTGTGTCCCCTTGACATGCTCCCCACATGGCGTCACCTTCCTGGCGTTTGGGAACGGCGCCCCTGACATCTTCAGCGCCCTGGTGGCTTTCTCGGATCCGCGCACAGCCGGCCTGGCCTTTGGGGCGCTGTTTGGTAAGAGCGGGGGCAGCAGGAGCAGGCGGTGGGGCAGCGGGAGTGGCCACGGGGCGGGCTGAGCTCGGCGTCTCGTCATCCAGGTGCTGGTGTGCTGGTTACCACCGTGGTGGCCGGTGGCATCGCCATCCTGCGCCCCTTCACCGCCGCCTCCAGGCCCTTTCTCAGAGACATCATTTTCTACATGGTAGCCGTGTTCCTGACCTTCACGGCGCTCTACCTCGGCAGGGTCACGCTGGCATGGGCCCTGGGTGAGCAGCCACAGGGTTAGGCAGGGTCATCCCGGGGCTGGCAGGTGGGAGGCCGGGGGGCGGGGTGGGGAGGACAGGGCAGGTGGCCAGCAGGACAGAGTCACTTTTGGTTCCAAGTGAGGGAAACTCTACTCAAAGCTGGCTTGAGCCAAAAAGGGGAACATATGGTTGAGATAACCAAAAGGGTAGGGTTTTGGAGACTGGGGTGATGTTCTGGATTTTCAAAATGTCACATTTTAACAAGCAGTGTAGCCCGGTTGCTGACTGGGGCTAGCAGGGTCCCTGTAGTGTACACTCTCCACTCGTGATCCATGGATAGAGGCACAGTTCACAGAGGGTTATGGAAACCACCGAGGGACACTGGGATGCAGGGATGTCCAGGGATCCGCAGGGGACCAGCAACAGTAGGAGCCCTGAGAGGCAAGGGGATGGTGGCCAGAGCCTAGTGAGAACTGGAGGCCTAGACCTAGTGCTGCCAAGCACAGGCGACAGTCACAGAGGATCCCAGGTTCTGCCTGGGACAGGACCCCACACCAGGGAGGCAGCCTGGAGAAAGTACCACAGACTCTCTTGCTGCCTTCTGATTTGTCATCAGGCCCCTTTGAGCCAAACCCAGTGTAGCCAGAGCTCAGGGCACAGAGCGGGACACCAACCCTTAGCACCTGAATAGGGTCCTGGAGGTCCCTGTCTGTGCCAGGTATTACCTCTTTGATTGCCAGATTATGGGGGGCAGGAAGGGAAGACAGGCCAAGGAGAAGCAGGGTAGTGGGCGTGGGGGGTGGGCGCTCTAGGAAATGGCCAGTTACCTACTGGTACTGGGCTAGGCCCACACAGACCACCACCACCAGGCACCAGCAATAGAACTGACAGTGCTTGTTCTCTGGGGCTGTGGCCAGGACGCCACTTGGTGACGGCTTGCACCCTTGTCTGCAGGTTACCTAGGCTTGTACGTGTTTTATGTGCTCACTGTGGTTCTCTGCACCTGGATCTACCGATGGCAGCGGAGGAGATCCCTGGTCTACTCCATGCCAGGTACTCCAGGTAAGGGTCTGAACTGAGCTCCCAAGGGAGGCCAGTGGGGGCTGGCACCCTCTGCGCCCTTCACTACTCCCTTACATCTCTGGAGGCCAACGTCATTGTCCATTTCCTCTTTGTGCTTTTTCTGCTTATTTTACCAGGGTCCTACCTGCATACTTTTGTTTGTGCTGATTTCGCTTTCATCCTCAGTTTGTCCTGTTTCACCAGCTCTTCCTCCATGCTCTTTCCAGGGCAACATGATCCCCCTTCCCCCGGGTTTGAGCCCAAATGCCTCCATATACACCAGTATGTGTACACACGAACACATGCCTACATAGCACACACACATACAAATACATGTGCGCACAAATAGGTACAGGCACATACCTACGCGACACAGACGTACAGATATACACATGCAGAAATATATATACGTACATACCACACACATACGCAAATCCATATACAACACATGTACGAACATACACAGTTGACCCGTGAACAACATGCAGGTGCCAGTGACTCCCCCTGCAGGAAGTCTGCTGTGATTTTTTTCCTCTCCTCCCCTCTGTCAACTGACCCTTCAGGGTTCAGCACAGATCACGCCTGTGCTGTCTTCTAGACCCATTGTAGCCCATCAGGATGGAGGAAAAGGAGAAATGAGTCCTGGAGAGGGGCCTAAAGTCACACAAAGGCAGGATGGGGACTAGTTATGAAAAAGACTATTTTCCTTTTAGGCCCCTCTTTGCTGGGCTCAGGCTGAGGACTTCCGAGAAAAGTTTCAGACTGAAAAAGAAAAATATGATGGGGTCCAAATTCTGAAAAGTACAAAATGGAAGTCAGCAAATGTTTGAATTGTGTCTTCAAATACGCTTGTTAAATTTGGCTTTGTAGCTACATCATCACATCCGAAGATGTTTTTTGAGTTAGACTCTCTCACTCAATAAGAATCCTGAGCATTCCTGGGGATTGCTGAGAAATGCAAGGTCCGGAGGGCCCAGACACTTGCACCCTGAGAGCAGCCCTGGCCCTGAGGGGTCCTGCCCTGGCCTGGTGGTGAGGAGGGTCTAGGCCCCTTAGCTGGCTCGTGTCACACACTCCTCTCTTCTACAGAAATGCTCTCAGATTCTGAGGAGGAGCCAGTGTCTTCCAACAGCTATGACTACAGTGAGTCTGGACTCTGTGCCCAGCGAGGGTGGGGGCACCAGGGCAGGGCTGGGGGCACAGAGTGGGGAGATGGGATCCGTGAAAGCAGCTTCACCTCCTATTGCACAACAGTTGAGCCAGGCCCTGGGCTGTTCCTTTTTCCAGAGGGTTGGTAGGATTTGGGGGAGCAGAGAGGGTCTCCTGGATGCTGAGCCCACCCTGGACACGTGTCCCTCTCCCCCTTGTACTCCCAGGTGAAGAGTACCGGCCACTGCTCTTCTACCAGGAGACTACGGCTCAGCTCCTGGCCCAGGCCCTCAACCCCCTGGATTACAGGAAGTGGAGGAACAAGCCGGTGTCCTGGAGGGTCCTCAAGGTGTTCAAGGTAGGAGGGGGTACCCTGGAGCCAGGCTTAGGGTTCCGTGACAGCAGCAGGACAGTGGCCACTCAACCATCTCCAGCTCAGTGAGAGGAGAGGGGCCAGGGTCTGCTGAGACCCTCGCAGAATAGATGACCTGGGACTTGATAGGGAAATAGAATTATAGTTTGGCTGATGGCCTGCCCTGCCCCCCATGGAGGAAGGATTGCATCTGGGACAGAGAGAGAGAGGAAGGAACCCCTCCTGACTTGGTGAGGGGGGCCCTGGGGCTGGGATGAGGGAGTAGGTCAAGGGGAGTTCAAATGAGGACAAGATTGGATTGTTCTGACCATTTGCTGCTTTCTTGGACTGAAGTTTCCTGAGGATTAGATCCTAGTGGGGTGCCCAGGCCAGTTTATAGAAGGCACAGCTGTAGCTGCCTTCCACCACCCAGAACAAAAGAGGCAGGGGTCTCACCTCACAGCCCTTATCTCCTCCTGGACGTAACTGGAAGTGACCAACATGAATAGGTTTTAGGCTTCCTCAGTCAGAGAGGGGGGCAAATAATGGAACTATATTTATACTCCACACTGGCTCTGGCAGCATGATGACCTTGGGCCTCTCTGAGCCTCAGTCTCCTCCACTATGAAATGCGGAGAATGATAGTGCCTTCCTTCTGGTGTGGTCGTATTTACAAGTTATTGAGGCAACAATGCTGTGTAACAAACAACCCCCCAAATCGCCCTGACGTACAAGTGACAGTATTTTCTCTCGTTTGTCTGGAGGGACTGTACTTCATTCAGGTTGTGTTTGGAGGCTCAGGTCTGCCCAATATCTCATTCTGGGGTCACTGGGTACTTGGGGGTGTGCCCTTGTCTTGGCACAAGAGGCCAAAGCAAACTTCACAAGCACATTTTAAGTCTCTACTCCTATTGCACTCCCCAACCGCCCACTGGCTGGAGCTAGTCACCTGGCCTCGTTCAACATCAGCGAGGCAGGAAAATATATTCTGCAGACTCTAATCACTTGACGGAGTACGTGGGCGTTTAACTCTGTTGCAGGAAGGAATTGAAGAATTGTGAACAGTAGCAGGCCTCTCACAGTCATTGTGACAATTTAATAAAAACTAATGTGTGAAAGGCCGAGTACGATGCCAAACAGCCATGCCTCATTTCATTGCACTTGGCTTTACTAAGCTTCGCAGACGCTGCGTCTTTTACAGATTGAAGGTTTGTGGCCACCCTGCATTAAGCAGGTCCACTGGCACCACTTTTCCAAAAGCATTTGCTTATGCCGTGACCCCGTGTTACATTCTGGTGTTTCCTGCAATATTTCAAGCTTTTTGCTACTACTATATTGGTCGTGGTGATCTGGGATCGGTGATTACACGTTGCTGGAAGCTCAGATGATGGTTAACATGTTTTAGCAATAAAGTATTTTTTAATTAAGGAATGCACATTTTTTGAGACACCATGCTACACACTTCTAGACAGTGTCACGTAAATGTAACTTGTATATGCACTGGGAAACCACAAAATTCATTTGACTCGCTTTATTGCAACATGCACTTTACTGAGGTGGTTTGGAGGTGAACCCATGATGTCTCGGAGGCTTGCGTGTAGTGAGGGCTCCATCCATGTTATTGTTAACTTAGTTATTGGCTGGGACCACAAGGTGTGGAGTCCATCGGAGCTGGCCTTGTATTCCAGCTTCATGTCCCTTTCTGTGTGTCTTTGGAAATATTCCTTAACCTCTCTGAGCCTCGCTTTCTTTTTCCAGAAGGTGAGAAAAATAATAGTTCCTATGCACGGGGTTGTGTGGTTAGGATTAGTGGATGAGGTGCCGTGGTCAGCTGAGTAATGGCCCCCCAAAGATATCCATGTCCTGATCCCCTGAAACGTGACTATGTTACCTTCATGGCAAAAGGGATTTGCTGCTGTGATGAGGGTCTAGAGATGCAGAGCATCTCCTGGATTATCCGGGTGGGCCTGATGTCATCACAAGGGTCCTTATAGGGAAAGACAGGGGGCAGGGGGGCAGAGTCCGAGGAGATGTGATCCCAGAAGTCCAGCTGGGAGTGACTGGGGGCTATAAGCCAGGAGTGCAGGTGGCCCTGGAAGCTGGAACAGGACCGCGGCCTTGCCAACCCCTTGGTGTTGGGACGCTGTTCCCCAGAGCTCTAAGGGAATACATTTGTGCTGCGGAAGGCACTGGTTTGGGCTTGTGTTCCAGCAGCAGGAGGTGACTACTTCGGGCTCTTGGCCTGGGCCTGCCCAGAGCCACATTCTTGCATAACTGAGCGCAGGGTGCCTCCAGCCCGGCACACCTCCCTGGTGACACCCTCCCGCCTTGGCACACTTGACAGCTGCCCGTGGAGTTTCTGCTGCTGCTCACCGTCCCCGTCGTGGATCCCGACAAGGAGGATGGGAACTGGAAGCGGCCCCTCAACTGCCTGCACCTAGTGATCAGCCCGCTGGTCTTGGCCCTAACCCTGCAGTCGGGGGCCTGTGAGTATCCCCTCCCCCAGGCTAGCCCACCTTCTTCCTCCTCCCCGCATTCCAGAGTTTTCTTCTCAACCACACCTGGGCCCAGGGCTAGAGGCAGAATCCTGGGCAAACAGCAGGCGCTGAATATATGCTTGTGCCGCTTGGGCCATAAGGGACACCAGCCGCCCATGCTCCAGTGGCCCAGCGCCACTGGCTGCAGATGGAGGCTGTGCACGGCTGGCCCTTGGACCAAGTCTAGCCTCTGCTCCTTCGCCTGCATTACAGTGTTTGCAGATTCCACATCAGAGGGCAGGTCTGGCCTTCTCAAGATCCGGGCCACGTTCCTGAGGCAGGATCGGCTGGAGCTGAGAAGGGCACCCTGATGGAGTGGGGGTGCCCACTGTGGGCATCAGGGCAGCCCCCTCCCTTGCCTATTGGGGCGCCTGGCTGGGGGATTGGAGGTTTTTCTGTTGGCTCCAGGCTGTCTCTGCCCTTTCTGACGTGCTCTGGCTCAAGAAATGCCCAGCGTTGCCAGGCGTCTTCCAGTTCCTGCTGCTTTGCCTCTTCCTGTTGTCTATATTTTTTATTTTTTTTAATTTTGTTGTTGTTGTCTATCTTTAATATCTCATGCTGCTGTTCCTCTCTGTCTCCTGGGCACCACCTGGAGGTAGAGGAGGTAGAGGAAGTAGGGCAATGGTGGCAAATGCATAGCTGGGCACGCCGTTTTTTGCTGTAACAAGGTGAGCAAACTCCCTGTGGGTCCCCTCCCAGATTTATGGGGCAGGCGGGACACTCTGAGAGAGCCCATCAGGGCTCCGGTGACCCCAGAGCCGAGAAGGGTGCCCCCTTAGGGGTGCCAGCTGTCTGGTTCGTGCGGCTCTCATTCCCCCGGGCAGGGGCATTGCCGGGAACTCACTTTCATCTCTGTGGCTTCTTAAAAGAGTGGACTCCCAAGCATCAGTCATTCACGAGCCATCTTCTTGATTTTTCTCCCATCATATACTATTCTAGTTGACGTTTTTCTCAAATCTGCTGTTTTTAAACTTAAATTTATTGAAAAGGAAACTATCACACCTGCACCAATAGGAAATTGGCTTCATTGCCAATACATTCAAGGTAACTACAAAGATAAATTCAATAAAAATAACGCATCTGAGCCAGGAGCCCTTGCTCCGTAGGGCATGTAGCAGGTGTTAGAGACGTTACAGACCTATTAGCACCAACGGAGACTCTGAAGGAGAAATCGCTCGCCTGAGATGGGATTCTGACGTGGTAGCGTCTTGTCCACGTTCAGCACCATCTGGTAATAATGGGTCCACACTGGGGAGGTACTGGTTCAGGCTAAAGCATTTGTGACCCCCTTCCGGGCTGAGCCTAAGCAGAGCCTCCCAGCCTCCTCCCTCTCTAGGCGACCCCCAAAGCCATCTTTCTAAAGTGCTGCTTTTCCTATGGTGTGGTCACTTCTCCACTCAAAGACCTCCATGGCTCCCCGGTGCCTCTTGGTGCAAGTCCACACCCCCCAGCCATCCTTAAGGCAGCCTCGTCATCCTGTAGTCTCTTCTGCTTGGTTCCTTCCCACCCAGCTCTCCCCTCTTCCCCTGCAGCCCTTGTACCCTCTCTCTGCTTATGCCTCATTGTACATCCTCAGCACTTGAAGAAGCCCTTCCCGACCACCCCACACTCCAACCACCTCCTAAAATTCCCCCAGAACAGGCGTGGCAAAAACAGAGAAAGGGCCCACGCTCGGGTGTCAGGTTCCAAAGCTAGTGCCACTGGTCAGAAATGTGTTCAGTGAAAATTGTCTCCTGCGATTCACACGATGTGTGGTGGACACGACTTTGTGTATCAGCTCCTTCATGTAATTCTTATGGCAGCTGACATTGGACAGCCAATGAGCTAGACTGGAAAAGAATAAGAGGAAAGTCTTGATAAAGTGTCTGGGCAGCCAAACCATCCATTGCCTTTGAGACCAGTACTGACTCCCTAGTGTTGAAAAGGGTTGTGTGGAGAATTCTGGAGCATATTGCCTGCCTGCGGGGTTTTCAGGTTTTGATATTAAGTCTCTGGAACTTTCATAACTTTTTTTTTTTTTAAGATTTATTCACTGTGGCCCCTGGGTGGCTCAGTTGGTTAAGCATCTGCCTTCAGTTTAGGTCATGATCCCAGGGTCCTGGAATTGAGTGCCATGTCAGGCTTCCTGCTCAGCAAAGTCTGCTTCTTCCTTTCCCTCTTCCTCTGTGTGCTTGTTTGCTCTGTCTGTCTCTCAAATAAATAAATAAGTCTTAAAAAAAATAAAGATTTATTCATTTATTATTTTGGGGGTGGAGGGGCAGAGGAAGAGGGAAAGAGAAATGTCAAGCAGACTCCCTGCTGAGCATGGAGCCCAATGCAGGACTTGATCCCACGACCCTGAGATCACGACTTGAGCTGAAATCAAGAGTCAAATGCTTAGCCGGCTGAGCCACGTGGGCGCCCCCAGAACTTTCATAACTTTTAATGGGTTGGTTTGTGGAGTGGACTTACCAAGAGAGCAGGTCCTGGGCTCCAGGACCAGGGGGTAAGGGTTGGGTTTGACTGTACAGCTCATTTAGCTAAGTGATGCCCATCCATTGGCCATGCCTGGCTGGAGGGTGCTGCCTTGAAGCTCAGTTAGAAGAAGCGTCACTATGATGGTTGATTAGTGATGTCTGCCATGGGCCTGGGAGGGAACAGTGGTGGTGAGTGGGCTTAGCATTCCCATCCTACCCTCAAGGCAGAAGGCTGGGGAGAGTCTGTCGTCTGCCTTCTTTCCAATATGGCTAGCTTCTGGGCAAGGGCTCTGACTTTAATTTCCTTGTCCTTCTGAAGTATCTGGGATAGCTCTGGGGACACTGTATGTCCAAACAATTGAGTGCAAGTGAGCTTTGTCCCTGGGTCTCTCCACCAGGCCCTCCCACCCATCCTGGGGAAAGAGTCCGTCCTCTGGGAGCTGGGGCCAAGCTGAGGTGGTGCCAAGTCCCAGCTCCCTTTCTTGCCTCTCTGCAGATGGTGTCTATGAGATAGGTGGCCTCGTTCCTGTCTGGGCCGTGGTGGTGATTGTGGGCACAGTCGTGGCTGCCGTGACCTTTTTCGCCACCTCCAACAGCGAGCCTCCCAGGTTTCACTGGGTAAGAATCCTTAGCACTCCAAGGTGGGCCAGAGGGGCACTGGAATCTCCCAGGAGGATGTCCGGTTCGTGCCTCTGGGGCAGCCAGGCCAGTAATCACTGTCCGTGATGACGGGTCTTTAAATTCACTTTGAGTAGTTTTGTAACTGTTCGAGGTTCTCTCTCTCTCTTTTTGGTAACAGCTTTTATTTTATTGAGATGTCATTCACATACCATACAATTTGCCTATGTAAAGTATGGGATTCGGTGGTTTTTATTATATTCACAGAGTTGTGCAACAATCACCACTATCAGCTTTAGAGCCTTTCAACACCAAAAAAGAAACCCCATGCCCATTCAGTCGCTCCCCTCACACCTTCCCCCCAACCCCTGGCCACTGCCAGTCTGCTCTCCAGGTCTGTGAAGTTGCCTGTTGGTGACCTTTTCATATAAATGGGATCATATGATATGTGGTTTTTTGCAGCTTTGCATCATGTTTTCAAGGTCCTTGCATATGCACTGGGCAGGGATTAGCGAGTCCCTCCTTTTCATGGCTGACTACCATCCACTGTACGGATGCAGCACGTTTTGTTTATCTGTTCATCATTGGTGGACACGGGTTGTTTCTACTCCAGGGATGTTACAAGGAAGACAGCTGTGACATTTGTGTAAAAATTTGTGTCTGGAAAGAGGCTTTGCTTCTCGGTGTATTCCTGGGTGAAGCTGTGGGGTCAGACTTATGTTTCTCTTTTTGAGGAACGGCCAGCTTCTTTTCTGCTGCCCTCTCGAGGAAGCTTTTCTTTTCTTTTTTCTTTTCTTTTCTTTTCTTATCTTTTCTTTCTTTCTTTTCTTCTTCTATCTTTTCTCTTCTCTTCTCTTCTCTTCTCTTCTCTTCTCTTCTCTTCTCTTCTCTTCTCTTCTCTTCTCTTTTCTTTTTCTCACAGAGAGAGAAGCAGAGACATAGGTAGAGGGAGAAGTAGGCTCCCTGAAGGGAGCCTGATGTGGGACTTGAGCCCAGGACCCTGGGATCACACGCTGAGCTGAAGGCAGATGCTCAACCACTGAGCCACCTAGGTGTCCAGCACCTGTGTTTCTAACAGCCAGGTTCCAGGGATGGAACGGTCTGGTGTTTGCAGTTGTTTTTTTTTTTTTTTTTTTCCATTCTCTCCACCCTGCAGCACTCTGAGGAACTTTTAGGCAGTTTGTTCAGATTTTACATATTTATTGACTTATTTGAGAGAGAGAGAGAGAGAGAGAACACAAGCAGGGCTAATAGCAGAGGGAGAAGCAGACAGGTAGTTTGTTCAGAATTTACTCTTGAAAGTTCAACTAAAATGTTCATTTTTTACTATTTATTGATAAAAACACGTAGCTTTCATCTTGAGAAACTGAGTGTGTCAACCCAAAGGAGGTCAAATTTTCAACAAATTGGTGATTTAGAGAAGTTCAGCTGGTGTTTTTACTGGTTTTTGAAGTCTTGGCACACACTCCAAGATGGATGTCCCTTGAGAACCTAATGCTGAGTGAAAGAGGCCAGTCACAAAAGACCACGTGTTGTGTGAGGCCGCATCTGTGACGCGTCTAGGACAGGTGAATCCATACAGACAGGAAGCAGAGGGGTAGTGGCCTGGGGCTGGAGGAAGGTTGGGTGGGATGGGGAGTCTCTGCTCCTGGGGATGCAGTTTCTTTCTATGGTCATGGGACAGCATTTGGTCCCTAGACTGGAAGCTGAAGAGAGCTATGTCGAGCTCTTTAATACTGACATTTAATACTAACATTTCACTGAGCAGTTAGTATGTGTTCCCTGAACCTATTAACTCATTTATGTTCATGACAATCTCAGAGGGTAGGTACTGTGATCAGCCCAATTTACTGATGAGGAATGGAGACCGTGTCCCTGTTGGGGACCATATCCCTGTTGGGGACTGGCCTTGGTCCCATCAGCACCAATTCTCTCCCCAGCTCTTTGCCTTCCTGGGCTTCCTGACCAGTGCCCTGTGGATCAACGCTGCCGCCACAGAGGTGGTGAACATCTTGCGGTCCCTGGGAGTGGTCTTCAGGCTGAGCAACACTGTCCTGGGGCTCACTCTGCTGGCCTGGGGGAACAGCATAGGAGGTGACTCGGAGTCGGGTGGGGCTCTGGGATGAGTGCAGCCACATTCCCGCTCTTTGCTCCCCTAGCCAGAGCACATGTGCACAGGCCCACTGTTGTTTTGGAATGACCATCACTGGGTAGCGCGGTGAGATGGCCTGGATCGTACCCTGGCCAGGAGACTACAGAAGCCCCAGCCTTTCCCCCAGTCTCTAATGTGTGGACACGTGGCTCCCCAGAGTTCAGGCAGGACATGGAGCCCATTGCGGCCAACCATGCTGAATGTGTACATGGGTGTGTGACATACACAGGCATTCACACATGCGTACATATCCCCTTCTCTAACTATAGCTGCCAGGTTGGGTTAGCTAAGTTGTGCACTGCACAAGAGCATCCAAACAGGGAGTCAGGGGGGCTAAAATCTAGCTCTCCTTCCACTCACCTTTCTGGGCACCTTTTCTGAATTTGTATAAAGTTGCTGTGCATGCTAGCAGTAATGGTAGGTCACACCCAGAGTTGCCCCTGGTGGGAAAAAATGGGGTAAAAAGCATCCAGGAGGGAATTGTACCATGGGATGCTGTGGCCACAGCACACAGCTAGCTAGTGCAAGGCCCAGATGGGCGTTCATCAGTTTTTGTTGACTGAATGCCTGTGGGTAACAATAAGGGGTGAATGACCAAGGAAGGCCAGGGGGAGCCAGTTTCCATTCAAGGCCGTCTCTCGTTTCCACACAGATGCCTTCTCAGACTTCACGCTGGCCCGCCAGGGGTACCCACGGATGGCATTCTCTGCCTGTTTCGGCGGCATCATCTTGAGTATCCTTTGTGGGGCTGCCCTCCCCTTGGCACTGGTGGCACAGGCTCCAGCGTTGTGCTCTGTGGCCCACTCCTGGGATTGGCTCTTGCTCTAACACCTGGAGCAGGTTATACAGCTGTGGGGGCGTCAGCTTCCTCATCTGTAAGATGGGTGCGGAGAGGACTGACCTCAGATGGGTTGTTGTAAGGACTGACCGAGGTGACAGAAATGTGTGGCACCTGGCAAGCACTCAGTGGGTGGCAGTGGCATTTTCAGTAGATGCCCCATGCTGAGCTTTTATGTGCCCTACGGGATGCCCGCCCCTTCTTGCTTAGAGACATCATGGTCCATCAATGTTAGGGGTTGGCAAGCCTGTTCTCACAGGGCCAGAGAGTAAATATTTTAGACGTTGTGGGCCACACCAACCTCTTCTGCAACTGCTGGACTCTGCGCTTATAGCTTGAGAACAGCCATAGGCAGTACAGAAATGAATGGACGTGGCTCTGTTCCAATAAAACTTTATTTAAAAAAGCAGACAGTGGGCCAGATGGGCCTGCAGACTGTAACTTGCCACCTGCCCTGGTCTCTATAGAAAAGACAAGGACAAGCAAGCAGCCTGAGGCTCTGAAAGGAGATGGTCTTGGGTTCCAGTTCTGTTTTTGTTTTTTTGTTTTTTTTTTTAAAGATTTTATTTATTCGTGAGAGACACAGAGAGAGACAGAGGCAGAGACACAGGCAGAGGGAGAAGCAGGCTCCATGCAGGGAGCCTGATGTGGGACTTGATCCCAGGTCTCCAGGATCACACCCTGGGCTGAAGGCGGCGCTAAACCGCTGAGCCACCCGGGCTGCCCCTTGGGTTCCAGTTCTGGCACCACCATGTGCCATCTGTGTGACCTTGGGGCTTTGCACACATCTTACTCTCTGCACCCCAACAATCTCGGTAAATTCAGAACAAGTTGGGATGAAGATCGACGGTGGGGTAAGGCACCCAGGATGGTGCCTGGCATAGGATGTGTGCCCAACAAATGGTGGGTGTTGCTGGTTGTGAAATAAAGTAATATTCCTTGAAAGCACTTGGAGTCCAGCTCTCCCCCGGCTCCACACAAAAGGGCCTGTGGGGTGAGCCTGGTGCCAAGCGGTGGCTGTGCGGCACGGTGGCGGGGACCGTGAGGTGAGCCTGTGGTTTGTAACTCCCCTGCTGGACGGGGCTTTCCTGGGCCCACTGTACCCACTGGGACCTGCTCCTGATCCCTCAGGTTGGGGCCGGAAGGAACAAGCCCCATCTGGAGCAGAGTCCCCCAAACAACACCTAGAGATGGCCTTGACCTCTGCTCTGTCACCAGTCCCCCAAGGGACCATGGGTGGCCACCTCACCTGGCCATAGGGAAGCCAAGTGCTTACCAGGTAGCCAGCACTTCTGTGGCCTCATTCCCTCCTTCCAGACTCAGTGCAAAATGCACACGAGACACTCGCCTTCCTTAAAGGGCTGACACTGGGAGGGCTCTCTTCAGAGAGGGTGCGTAGAACATAAGGCAGGCTGATGCACATGCGGTTGGGGTTGCGGGGTGTCATTCCAGCAAACTTCCTGAGCTGGGCCACAGATATCCTGGTGGGCGTGGGGCTGGGTTGCCTGCTCCAGATCTCCAGGAGCCACACGGACGTGAAGGTGAGCGGCCAGACACTTGTGCCAGGGCCCCTTCTAATGTGGACCCCCCAGGTGGGGGACTTCACATCTCGGAGGGCATCTGCTTGCTGGGGAGGGGCCTTGTCTGAATTTGGGACGAGCCTGATTGGTAGAATGTTTTAAAAATATCTTGCATACAGGGTTGAAAAAAACGTGCTGCTTACAAGTTCACAGGGTAACTGGGATGTGGCTCTGGGGAAGGGGCAGGAGGGCTCTGCATTCAGGTACTGGTCCCATCACTCAAGTCTTGCTGTGTGACTGTGGGTGAGTTAGGGCATCTCTGGGCCTCAGTCTCCTTGCCCATGAAGTGGAGGTGATGGTCTCCCCGCCAAGCTTCCTGGGGAGCAAGCACGAGGTGAGAGCCAGGCCAAACATCTTATCCCACCACTGCCCACGGAGGGCAGACTGAGAGGAGACTAAGGCAGCCATAGCAGGTGGGAGCCTGGCAGGTTTGGAAAAGGTTCTGAGACTCATCAAGTGGGGGTTCTCACATGTCCAGGATGCCCCAGGATTTCCTAGGGGAGCATGAGACCTCGGTCCCAGGAATTCAGGAGGTAGGGGGCTGGAAATTTGCATTTTAAAATAAGTCTAAAATAAGTAGATAGGTGGCTTGAGAAAGCCTGTTCTAACAAGGTTGAAAACCCTAAGGCCTGCAGGGGCCAGGAGGGTAACCAAACCACCTGGGTGACTCAGGTGGGCTGCACGTGGCCAGATACTCCAGATTTTCTAGAGAAGAAATCAGGAGTCCTAGGGGAACTTTTGCTCGCCTCAAATATTGCACAGGGTGACACCCATTCGACCCTCCGGCTGCCAGTTTGCATTGCACATCTGGCATCTCTGTTCTGAAGCACTCGATTCCGAGACCAAAGGAGAGGGAGAGATTGCGACGGGGAGGGGTATGGTTTGCAGCCACCCTGTGAGAGCACTTGGGGTCTTGTGAGGCGGCGTTAATGGGACCGGTCACCCACTGTCTCTGGGCTCCCACTGTCTCAGCTCAGCCAGTGACGGCTCTTGTGGCCTGCTTGTCACTAGCTGGCAGCAGGGCCAGCCTTTGGTGGTGGCCACACCCACAAGCAAATGGCTGCTTACTGACTGCTTGGGAAGTCGTTTTTTTTTTTTTTTTTTTTTTAAGATTTTATTTATTCATGAGAGGCAGAGAGGGGGGTGGCAGAGGGCGAAGCAGGCTTCCTGTGGGGAGCCCGTGCAGGACTCAATCCCAGGACCCCGGGACCTGACCCGCAGGCAGCCGCTCAACCACTGAACCACCCAGTGCTCCGAGAGAGTTTGCTTTTCTTTTCTTTAAATAGATGATCTTTTTTCCTTGAGGTGGGGAGGGGCCGAGGGAGAAAGATAATCTTAAGCAAAGGCTCAATCTCACAATCCTGAGATCGTGACCTGAGCTAAAATCAAGAGGCAAGAGTCGGATGTCCCACCAACGGAGCCACCCAGGTGCCCTGGAAAGTTTGCTTTCCTAAAAGGTAAACATCATCTGCAAATTTTGTTTATACTCTTCCTGGGTTTAATAGGTTACTTTCTTTATCAATTCCCAGGGAGTTCCAGATAATGAGGCTTTAGGGTTGGCTCCCTGAAGGGCCTATTTCTTCCTTTCTCTTGCTCCTGGAGTGTGTGTGTGTGTGTGTGTGTGTGTCCGCGTTCCGCTGCCTTTGTACTGAGTTTAGGAAATGGTCCCCCTGTTAATGAAGTAGGACACAAGGCATCAGGCAAGGTCACCGTGGAAGGTCTTCAGGGAAAGTCATCACGGAAGGATGGCCACAGGGCTGTGCTGGGTGGAGGACACAGCTTGCTCTTAAACACTGCCTGGTGTGGGATTCCATTTCTGGTTCAGAACTGCTGTGCAGATCTGGGTGTGTGTGCAGACGTCACTGTGTGGGGAGGCAGGATAGGGTATGGTCAAGAGCTTGGACGTCGGTTTGGGCTCTGTCACGCACTCGTGACTGTTTGCTCGTCCATGCATTGGGGGTAATGGCACCCCCCTCGCGGGGGATGGGAAGGTGAGAGGCTGGCTGGTGCAGGTCAAACACCCGGCACAGTGGCCAGTGTCGATTCTTCCGTGGATGCTGGACAAACGTTAAGTCTGGAAGGAAGAGAAGTGGGAAGAGGACAGTTTCACTTCTTTCTGCTCTTCTGTAGGGGGGAGAAGTTTGCAGCATCTGCATGGAACATGTACATGTAACGGACGGTCTCAGTTTCCTAGGGCTGCTATGACAGATGACCTCAAGCTAGGTCGCTCAAAGCATGAAACTTCAAGGTGGGACGTGGCCAAAAGGCCCGATAGTCCTGCACTGGCCCCTGCGGGGGCGACCATCAGGTGGCTGCAGTGACCCGGCCTCTCCCTCTGTTCCCCCACAGCTGGAGCCAGATGGACTGTTGGTGTGGGTCTTGGCGGGCGCCCTGGGCCTCAGCCTCGTCTGCTCCCTGGTCTCGGTCCCCCTGCAGTGCTTCCAGCTGAACAAAGTCTACGGCTTCTGCCTGCTTCTCTTCTACAGCAGCTTCCTCGTGGTGGCCCTGCTGACCGAATTTGGGGTGATTCACTTGAAAAGTGTGTGAGTGACGCCACGTGTCTGGGGCCGCCTAGTGGCCGGTAGATGTCACTGCAGGTGGCCGAAAGGAGGCGCGGCCCAGGGGGGCTGTGAACGGGGTGGCTCTCGGTGGGGGGCTGCCACCGCCCTGTGCTCAGAGAATTTCTGGAACATCAGAGACCGGGCTGCGCCGTGGCCGGAGCTGCGCACAGAGGCCAGCCGTCCTTGGATTATCTGTGGGGCTTCTCAGAGGCCGAGTGCCTTCCCCGCCGGTGTCGCCAGACCCGCGCGGTGTTCTAGGGCCTGTAGTCACGTCCTGCTGCCTTCCTGCATCCTCTCCTCAGGGCTCAAACTGCTGCCAAACCCCGGCTTAGGGTGTCAGGGCAATTCCGATGGTGGGTGGGACACCATGGGCCAAGGACATCCTGGGCCGAGTTCTAGAGCTGCACCGTCCGCCAGAAATAGAACATGAGACACACACCCAATTTTGAATCTTCTAGTCACGTTAATAAAAGCCAAAACACAGGTACTGTATCATACACATTATTCAATGGCTCCAAATATTAGCACAGGGCCCTGGCCCCATCATGGCCACCGTATTGGATGGCACAGCTCTAGACTCTACTTCTAGAACGGTCTGCTGGCTGTTGGCAAGCTCCTCCGTGCCCTGAACCTTGGGTTTCCTCAGCTGTGAAACAGGAGTCCGTTCGACTGTGCTCTGTGCCTACCTCAGGGGGAGCCCGGGGCTGGGGTTCCAATGCCTCGAAGCTCCAGGAAAGACGGAGTGAGTGCTTCCCGGTGCCTTCCTGCTGTCACTAGCTCTGGACCTGCCTTTTCAAGAAGCAACTCTTCAGTTTGCCCGACTGCCTTACGCCAGCAGCAGCAAAAGGATTCAACTGTCTTTTTTTCCAGTGCAAAAATTATTAAATATTTCAAGTGTCCAAAGCAGCACACCCATCTTTTACTGCTTCTTCCTTACCTGGGCCAGGTGATGTGTGTTTGGTTCCAAGGCCAAAAGGCTCTTGGGCCTGATGTATCTGAGCTTTGAGGCAGGTCTAGATGTGGGGTGGAGGTGGGGCCAGGAACAACCATGGATGGGACATCTCCCCTCTCCCCACAGTACCGGAAACCACAGAACGGCACTTGGTGGAAGTCACGAGGCGGCAGCCACGTTTACAAAGCAGAGGCTTTTAATTAATACGCCAGAAGTCTGGAGACACAGTGGGTTTTCTAGGTAACAAATCACCGATGTACAAAACCTTACAGTGTTGCTCCCGCTATCCGTACAAAATGATTGTCATGTGTGGAGTAAGGCTGGGTTGGGGAAGGGAAGCAAGGAGGAGGGACCATGTGGTGTTCCCCCAAAGCAGGGCAGGGGCTTAGTGCCATCACAGCCGAGGGCAGGTGGTGGGACCCAGGGCAGGTTGCAAGGTTGACCTTGGTTTCATTCAGCTAGGACTTGAGTGGTGAGAGGGCATCTGAGCTGGATAATGTCCCGGGCCCCTCAGATCTCACAGCCCTGAGTGACCCCAAGGGGCCAACTGCCCTTAGCCTCCATTATAAGGATGCTGACTACTGGCTGGAGTCTCGCCGGCTGCATGATTGCCACTGCATTCATCCCATTTAGCTTAAACAAGGGCCTTTCTCAGAGGACAGGGCTGGAGGGAGTATTAGTTACCACCCGTCCTGGTACTAGCTCCCCCACACACATCAGGGGCAATGGCCCTGGGGCCCCTCCCTCGTTCATAGGGGAGGGTACTAGAATGAGGCCCAGACACTAGGGCAGAGGACCTATCCTTCTTTGAAAGTTGCCCCTTGACTCCGGATTCCAAAATACCCATTTCAACACACAAATGCTTAAAGGCACCCAATTGTGCAAATAAATAAAGTTCCTTCTCTGGAGAGGGCAAGGGGTTCTGGCTTGAGGCTCGATGCAGAGCTGCACATATTGATTGGCTGGTGGCCTTCCAGAGACAGAGAGGACAATGCCAATCTCCTGGTGCCCCGTGGGGATCTCACTGTTTCATTGTTTCCCCAAAGGGCTGTGCTTTAAAAACAGAAACAAATGTCTACTGCTCCTCCCCTGGTAAGGGGCACAGCCGTGCAATGTTGGCTCTGGGAATCAGCCACTCCAGGGCCACCCTCGAGAAGACTTGGCCTTGGAGATGGCCAGGGAGAGGCGGCAGGGGGAGCCAGTATGGGACCCCTAGGATCAGGCCATGCCCGGCTACGAAGAGAGTGTGGCAGGGGAACTTCCACCCACCCACCTTCCTAAGTGCTAGGAGGCTGTGGAGGAGTCTGGAAAGCTGGGGTTAGACCAGAAGGCCCAGTGGGGGCTGCTTCCCCTGCCCCCTGCCCACCCCTTTCACCCTACCACCTCCCCCTCCTGCACCACTGGAGTTTGCAGCCCAGGTGAGCCGAACCACCCTCAGCTCTGACCCTGCTTCTGCTGCTGCCACCAACAGTGCTCACCAGGGCTGCCAACCCCAACGCCTGCTCTGAATTCAAGCACCAGTCCTACCCCAATCATGCTGTCAGGAGAACTCCCACAAGATACGGAGAGGGGGTGCTCAGTTAACTGAGGGCCCACCTGAACCTAGCTGTGCCAGTGGCAAAACCTGGGGCAAGCTGAGTCCCTGTTCTGGCCTCTGTGGAGTCCACGGAGGGGACTACTCAAGGTGGGGGTGCTGTCCCAGGGGACCAGCAGGCGCCTAGCTGCAGGGCTGCTGTGGACCTCCCGCGGTCAGCATCTGCTCGGTGCGCCCCTTCCCAGCTGCAGAACCTAATGCCCGATGTGAAGGATCCGCCACTGTCTTTAGCAGGATCCTGTGTTTACCAGGATGTCTCTCTGCAGGAACAGGAAAATCACAGGGAAAAGGGATCTGGTGGAGAAAGCCCATCTCAGGGATTGGCCCCGGATGGTAGCCATCAGCCTGGCCTGCTGCTTGCTACCCTCCTGCTGGGCTGAGATTCTAAAGGAGGCGTTTACAAGGATATGCAGCAACAAGAGTTAACCCAAAGGAAGTGTGGGAGAGAAGGCGTCCAGGGCTGGGGTGTGAAATTCCAGCAATCTCGCACTGCCAGCACTGGCTGAGATCTGACTGCCTGGGGATGATCACACCCCTTGATTACTCTCTCCGTTATGCCCTAGGCACTGGTTCCCCCAAAGGAATGCTGTATTATATTATCATATATATAGAAACACTAACCCACATCCTAAGTGGTTTTGTCCCTAAAGCAGGCCACAGAAACCCCGTGACACGGGCTGCAGGGAAAGTTAGTGGGGAAGCTGTCAGTCAGCCGGGACGCGAGTGTGAGAGCAGCATCGGGAAGACGGTCTGGATCTGGCCTAGGGTGGGCCGGCCCACTTTGAAGGTGAGCCCTGCGGAGATCGCAGAAGTGGTCTTCTTCTGAAGAGGCCTTCCAGAACCTTCCACAATAGAAAGAGCTCAAGGTGGCCTGACCCCCCAAACCAAAGCAACTTCTGGGGTTAAGGAAAACAGGGCAGGGCAGTTACGCACCAAACCCCACCTTGTCTTTTCTCTTCCTATATATAAATATGTGCATATATATGAATGCATGTGCATGTATACACACACACGCATTTTTTTCAATACATTGTAGTAAAATAATACTATTGTGTTATTGCATAGAAGAGATGGCTTTCACACGCTGGGGTTAGGTGATGGTCTGGGAGCGCTGGCGGCTGCCTGGGAGCTGCTGGGTGGTGGGGACCTGGCCGCTGCTGCTGAGCTGTCGCTGCTGCTCCTCTTGCTTGCGGGCGTGTTCCTCGTACCACTCCTAGAGCAGAGCGCGCAGACAGGGTGCTGAGCGGGCTGTAGCCCTCCCAGCCAGCCCTGTGCTGGCCCTAGCCGGAAGAGTGCCCGTCCCCTTGCCCACCTCTCCCCTGCCCGGGGCACACACTCCTGTGAATGTGCGATGGGGATTAAGCAGGGCTGCCAGCCCCACCCAACTGTGACTGCAGTCGCTGCAAGGTTCCCTGGCCCCCAGACCGCCTGGGAATTCTGCATATGGCCCAAATAGAAGAATCATCATGAAATCTTTCCCTTAGTAATTAGAGGTTTGCTAACTTCCTTATAAATATTCTCCTTGGCACACATCCTCTCTTTAAGCGAGGCCCAGGTAGTCATCATCATCCTCCCTTTGCAAACGTCATCTTTTGTCCCTCACAAAGGGATCCCCCGTGCTCTCCCTTTTGAGCTTGGCAGGAACTGTGTCCTCAGGACACACCCAAGGAAAGCGAGGCTCAGAAGTTATATGAGGCCGGATGAAGTTGAGAGCCTCTCCTAACTCCCATGTTCCTTGTCCTGCCCTCCAATATGGCTATGAGAGCATTTTGAAAAAAAAAAAAAATGTCACCGACCTGAGACCTATATTGTTATGCCATCTGACGTTTTCAGAGACAGGTGATTAATTAATTAGGAAAGCTACCTTACATGTCTAAAGAATCTGAGCCACAGAACTTGAGAGCTTAAGACTGAGATGGACTTTCTGCCCCTCTCACGGTACAGAGAGGGACACTGAGGCTGGGAGTGGACAGACAGGCAGGGGACAAAGGACAGCAGCTGAGTGTGTGTCCACGTGGGGCCATCTTCTCTGCTTTCTGAGCCAGAGGCTGTCCCCCTTTCACAGGTGTGAATGGCCTGAGGGAGCCAGCAGATGCCAAGGTTCATGTTGGCTTCATGTCTCTGCGGCTCGTTTCACAAACCACTATGCACCTGTACCCCTTTGTTTTCACAGAAAATGTGAGTCAGCTTGGGGTGACGCAGCCTCCCTACCCTTTGGGCGTGGACACTGGTCATCACTGTCCCAGTGAAAACAGGGCTGCTAGCTGATAGAATGCCAGAGGCAGCACGGTCACAATGGACGGCGTGGGAGACTATCCCGAGCCCTGGGACCCGGAGGCTGAACAGAAGGCCCAAAGCAAAGCTCATGCGCAGGTGGCCTGCGGCCTGGAATGCAGGCTGTCAGCCCACATGGTGCTTTGCAAGGTAGTTTACTTAGCTTTCGATGTGGAAAGACGGGGAGATTTTGTGAATAAAAATTTTTCTGACTTCTCCCTTCTCTTCGATTACAACAACAAAAAACCCCAAACAGCCAAAAATTCCAAAAGAGACCTAAGGCACAGGAGAACCTAATGTACCTAAGAAGGGGCTGTCCTCCCCTTGCCAGCTCACCATGGCCCCTGCACTCCCCTCTTGCCCCTTAGGTCTCCTGCTGTTCCCACTGCACTTGCGGCTCTGTCTCAGGGTAAGAAATCGGGCAGGTTCTGCAGATTTCTTCTTCAAGCAGCAGGGCCGTATGGGAGAGCTGCTCATGTTGGGGCAGGGACAAGGAGGGTTCCTGAGCCCAAGCCCCGCCCAGCCCTGCGTCCCAATCACCACGGGCAGCTGTCCCAGTGGAGGCCCTGATCCCATGTGGAGCCTCCCCTACTCCACACTCAGGGAAGGAACCGGAGGGCAGCCCCTGCTCATCAGGGGGGAGGCCCACTCCCAGGCAGCATGGGCAAGGGCACACCTACCTGAATCTCCTCTTGGTACATCTTAAGGCTCAGGTCACTTTTGGTCCTTGATCTCCGTCCCAGAAACACCACGGTGTTTTGCTAAAAGAGAGTTATGGAGGCTCAGGGACTGCCCCAGCAGGGGCGCGGGTGCCCAGCCTCAGCAGTCTTGAGGGGCGGACAGCAGGGTAGACCTTGCACAAGGCCGAAACCTGCCCCTCACTCCGTCAGAAGCGGCCTTGAAGCTCCTCACCTCGTGTCTCTCCATCTGAGAGAGGACTGTGAGCAGCCGGGTGATATCCGAGGTGGCTCCTCGCACCTCCCGGTAGAGCTCCAGGACAGCAAGCAGCTCATCTTTGGAGATTTCCTTCTCAAGGGTGATGCCACCATCAACTGTGGGAGGGGAGACCGGGACTGGGAAGGAGGCCTGGGGGTTCTGGCCAGGTCTGGTTCAGCCCTGCTCCCCGTGGCCCTGGCAGTTCCCTATGTTCCCTCTCGGAGCAAACCAGCATCAGTACAACATGTCCCCCACTTCCTGCCTGCCTGGCACTTACACCCTCTCCCCTCCCTTTGCTGTGGGTGTTGGGGTGCTGTCAGGCCAGCAGCTTATAGGGGATAGAGTTTTGGCATGGAGCCAGGTGGCCTGATAAGACACAGATGTGGAAATAAGTAATAGGTATGTGGTGGTTTTGACGGAGAATCCGGAAGGATCAGTATGCACAAAGCTCTGCAACCCGGAAGAAGAGAGGCGATGATCAGAGCTACGATCAAGTTGCAGAAGGATGAACCACTGGTATAACATTCACACCCTTTAAATCTAGAACTGCACTGTGAACATGTTATTTAGAAATGTGGAGATCATACAGAAGGGGACAGCCAGCTGTGATGACAGTGTGCGGGGGCGTGGGAAGGCGGGGCACAGGGCTGCTGCGTTCACAATAAGCCTGTCTCTGCTCTGCAATTTTTCTAATCTTGGACGTGGATTGTTTTTATTTTGAACGTGAGATTGAGAGCATTCTTCTGTCATTAAGTATTTGAAAATCAATGCACATGAGAGATGGAACAGATCAGCCAGCAGATAAGCTAAACTGCCAGGAGCCTGGACAACCAGACAGTGGGATTGGACAGCAAAAAAGCTGACAGCTGGGCAGCCAGCCAGATGAGCAGCGGGCATGCTCCGGCCACAGCTGCTTGCACAGACCTTCCGAGTCCTGGTTCTTGCGGCTGTAGTTCATTCGGAAGACGAAGGCTTCAAGGATGAAGGCGACAATGATAGTCATCACCACCTGACCGGGCGCAGAGAGAGAGGGAGGGTGAGAATGTGAGCTGCTGCAGGGCCCACAGCCAGCGGAGCCGTGTGGGATGCTGCTGCCTGGTCTTGGCCCTTCCTCCCTGGGGGCCCCTGCCCACCAGGCTGGGGCAGCTGGAGACTCAGGAGTGGTGAAGCGCGGAGAGTGTCCCATAGCCCCAGGGACGTACCATGGTCACGATGTAAAAAGTCATGAAGTACAGACGGCTCCAGTGTGAGGTCTGAGAGGTGACACCTTCCTGGGGACAAGGGGAGGCAGCCAGTGAGTGAGCAGCAGGGTGGGGCCGGGTCGCTGTGTGCTCGGGCTGCTCCAGGGTCCCCTGCATGCCCAGCTCTTTACAGACCCTACCCAATTTGCCTCGGGTTGTGGGGAAACCCCAGGGAGAAGAGGGTCACCTCGCTCCCCAGATCTAAAAACCCCTCTGTGCTGCATAAACCCTGGATGCTCCCTAGGGTGCAGGGTTCAGGACTAACCCGGGTAGTCTTGGTTCCAAGCAGGGATGGCACTTAGAAGAGTTTAAGGAATGGAAAACAAAACCCAAGGTTTGCCACACTGTTTCTTGGTCAAAGAGTCCCTCCCACAGTGGTTGGAGGAGGACAGAGATCCACAGGCTAACTGGCATCTCCTGGCCCCCAGGGGATGTATGGGGTGGGCAGGCATGGAAGCCACGTCTAGCAAATGCAGAGGGGTGGCTCCTGGGGCCCAGCCCACATTGTGGGCTCTCCGCAGAACCCCAACCCTGTGTGACACAGGACCCCAACCCCGACAGGGAACAGAAGAGTGACATATCCCATCTGGGGCCAGGCAAGACCAGAGCTGGTCTCAGAGGATGGTGGGCAGAGGCCCCCAGGAGCTGACTGAGGTCCTTACCATAATGATGTACCAGTTGTTGACAACTGTGAGCTCGAACAAGGTCACTGCCAAAGGCAAGGGAGAGCGAGGAGTATTTCAATCAGAATCACTTTTTCAAAGTCTATTTCAAGTAGCCTCTCTCCACCTATCCTGGGTACCATGCACCTAAATGATGGCATCCCCGTCTGCCAGCCTGGGCTGTGAGTCCTAGAAGTATCAGCCAAAGCTTCCCCTGAGTGCTCACCCCACAGGGAGTGCTGCCATCTTGGCCTGTCCCCCAAAGGGCACTCCCTGTGCCTATGACAAACCAGGGCTGGGGCTGGGCAGCAGGGAAAGAGTGGGAGACACAGGAGAGGGACCACAAAAACTCTCCCACAAGAGCTACTCAGACCTGACTTGGTGTAGATCCAGGATGCCAGGAGGGGCTCCCTTTCCCTCTTGAGCTGTGCCCTGCCCCTGCCCCAGCCTCTCCATGAAACCCAGGAGCACTGCCGTGTGGGCCTGAGCTGGGGTCAGCATAGGGCACTTGGCAGGTTGGTATGGCTGTCCCACCCTGCAACTGTGGGGTTGTGACTGGGGGTGGGTTCCCTGGCCTCAGGCTTCCCCGCCTCTCGGCAAAGCACGGAGCCCCTCTGCTCCCAGGAACGAAACCTGGTGGTGAGTGAGTGCTGGGATCTGGCCCGGCCTGCACCCCTGTGGCGGGGTAAACCACAGCCTCCATGGAGGCTCAGGAGGACTCCAGAAAGCATAGCAAATGGCCAGGAAGGGGGAGGCGTCAGACAGCTCTGCTAGGCCACACCTGGGGCCTGCAGTGGCCTCTGCACTCACCAAAGCTGTTTAGGATGTTGTCAAAGTTATTAAGATAGTAGTAGCCTTCGTCCACAACGGTCCTGTTGCCCACAGTGTGATTGAGCCAGCGGTAGGCATCAGATACTGTGCTCGTACTGGCCAGGGAGACAGAGGGGCAGAAGGGAAGGTCACGTGGAAATTGGTCACCTCGACAGAGGACAAAAGGTTTAAGCAAACCCAGCTCTGCCCAGGGAGCCTCTGTGCTGGCCCAGCACCCAGCTCTCTGGCCCATGGGAAGCCCTTGGCTCCTCTCAGCGGTCGGGTGTTGGTGGGAACTCCTGGGCTCGCCCCCGGCTTATCTGCATCCACTTGGCATTTCTCTGCTACCAGCTAAGCCCTCTCCCTCCCAGATACCAGAGGGAGACACCGGGCAGGGAGAGGAAGACAGTGTCTCCCCTGGTTCTCCCCAGTCTGGGATCTGCTCTAGAGCCTGGGTGCCGGGCAGTGACCCCATGGAGCAGAAAGCTCCTTGCTGGGCCTGCCCCAGCCCCGGGCAGGAGTGCTCTAGAAGGCTGCCAGGTTCGGAGAGCTTATTTGCTGTTTTCCTTCCAATCCTTTATGGCTGGTGTGTTAACGCTCATGCTGAGGTTTCTACTCTGGTCCTCGGTCCCCCAGGGAACTTGTTCAGAAGGCAGAGTCCCAGGCCTCATGCCGCCGCCCCGGTGGCTCTGCGCGCTGCCAGGTCTGTGGCCCACAGCTACCGGCCTCTGGTTCTGAGCTCAGCCTGACTCTCAAAATGGCTGCCAGTGCCTTTGTAAGGAGTTTGTGCTTGAGGCCTTATGGGATAAATTTTAAAGAGAGCGCCGTGACTCGAGAATTAATGCCAGGGTACACTGCTTTCATTGTGGTGGCTTCAGGAAAGGAGAGGTTATGGGAGCTTGTGCTCCCCACGCTCTACCCCTGCCCCCAAAGGCCTTCCTGTGGGTATCTGTCTGCCTGGGTTGATGTGTCTGCCCAGTGCCCATGCCCCCAGAGAAGTAGGGGGAAGCCATGGAACTCACACCTCAGACTGCTCCTGGTTCTGGGGTGGCCTTCAGACCTCAGCCCCAAGGGCAAGGTGACGGAGGGCTGCTTGGGGACAGGGAAACTTGCTCAGATGTCCTCACTTCAGAGACATCCCCAATTCCAGGCCCCTCCCTTAGCTACGGCACTGAACTAAGCCCCCCCCCCCCAATGCAAAGCAAAGGGATTCCAGGGCTTTGAAGGGTGCTCCAGGGCTTGTGTCCCTGAGGCCCTCAAGGCTGCGGGAGACCCACGCGGTTAGCCTGGGGGCGCACCAGTCCTGGTTTGGGTCCTCTGAAAAAACAGGCTGCTTGGGGGCAGGCAAGGCAGGGCCCCACTGTGTACTCACTTGCAGCAGTTGGGGTAGAGGATTCCACAGAAGAATTCCATGCCCACGATGGCGAAGGAGTAGTAAAAGATGAGCAGGGTGAGGCCCAGGCTAGGGAGGAGGGTCAGAAGGGACAGAGTGATTTGGGGCCAGGCGGGAGAGACCGGTGCCTCCGGCAGCCCCAGTATCCTCAGACCCACTGCGCTGACTGATGGACAGGCATGCCCCTAGCCAGGTTTACCAACTGGAAAGTGTCTGCAGGGAAGGGGCCTTGTGATTCAGGTCTGAGGTCAAAAACAGCTCGAATCAGGACTCTAGTAACAGATGCCCCTTTACCAGAGATTCACCCCTTACCTGTGAAGGTAGACTCACAGGTGACCCCTTACCTGTGAATGTAGACACAGGTGGTAAGTGAGTTGACAGCTCCCTGCCCTCCCTACTAAATATTTCAGACAGGTCAGTGGAGAAAAGTGGTACCAGGGAGACCCGAGGTGGTCCACATTTCAGTCTCCTTGGAGACCCGTCAGACCCTCGATGTCAGTCCTTTCCAGGCCTCCTCCTCTCCCCCAACTACCGCCCAGCTGTCCCCCTAGGGGCACAAGCCTCGTGGCGCCTGGCCCTGGGGGCCAGGAGGTGGGGCAGTACCTGGCCATCCGGGGCAGCAGCTCAAACATGGTGTCCAGCACATTACGGTAGCGCTTTTTCAACTTAAACAACCTGAGGGAAGAGACCCGATGGTGCTCAGATGCCGGTGTGGCTGCAGCCCCCGCTCCCGGGCATGGGCGGAGGTGGGGAGACGGCCCCAGGGCATCTCCCTGGCCTCTTCCTTGGGGGAGGAGGCAGCAGCGGCTATGCAGTGCCATTTACCAACAGGGCCAGGAGGAAAGCCCCAGAAAGAAGGGAACAGAAGCCATGCCTTCAGAGGAGTCAGGAACATGGAGGCCGGCAGCTCAGCTGGCCACCACATACGGGGAGGAAGCTGACATTCGCCCGACCCCAGCCACCAACACTGGGGCACCGCTGCAGGTTCTTCTAGCAAGACCCTGCCCCCTGACCACCAACCCCACCTCCATGTCTCCTTCCAGGAAGGCCACGTATGGGATCATAGCTTGATACCCACAAGAATACCTAGACTTCTGAAGACCCCTAGGTGCTAAGGGGGGGCGGGGGTCTCTATGGAGAGCTGCCTCACTGATTCCCCGCAGCCGTCTCTGTGGAAAAGGTGAGACTAAGGGAGTGTTTTTCTTGACAAGAGACTGTGCCAGGAAAGCATGGGGGCCCCTCAAAGATCCCCTTGCACCCTCGGAGGCTGTGGCATTCTGGTTTATGACTCTGACCATATGTGTTTCTATGGCTGCAGCTGATACCTGCTGCGGGCCAAGGTCACCTGAGCCATGGGCCACGCTCTTCCTCCACAGTCAGGGGCAACTGGATCCCTGTGATGTGAGGAGGCGCAGTAGGCCACACACTCCCCCCACAGGTGGAGACAGGGCCTGATGCCTCTGTAGCGGGGTGCATCTCTGACATGAGGCTTGTGAATCTTTGGGTTCCTTCCCCCCACTTCCCAGACCAGTCCCAAGGCTTTCGCCACCCTGCCCCTGCCCCTGTCACCTGAGCAGCTGGAGGGGACGCAGGACCACTATGAAATAAAAGGGCTCCATGTTGAAGGCCAGAGCCAGCAGTCCCAGAAAGGCAAACAGAGTGACAGAGAAGTCGAACCTGGGAGGGTGAGGGAGAAGCCGTGGTCCAAATGGCCTGCCCAGGCCTGCCTCCCTCCCACTGCTCCCCACTCCCCAGCCCCGGTTTCAGTGCTCCCTTCCCAGGGGCCCACATGCTGACCCCAGCAGGGGCAGCTTCCTGCTACCCTGGGGTTTCTGAGGCCAGCTTGGCTGGACCCCCAGGCACAGCAGACACAGTAGGGATCAGAAATGCCCAGAAATCCCATCCTGAAGGTCCTGCCCTATTCTAGTGGCAGATGTCGGGTTATATGGGTGACCACTGACCCTGATGAGCTTCCTAAGGGAAGGGGTGGGATGGGCAGGTGGGATTCCCACCTAGAGGCCAGTCAGCCAGCCCTGCTCGAGGTAGAGGGCCTTCTTGCCTCTTCAGAAGTGCACGAAGACCCCAAAAACAGCATGGCGCACATCATACTACTGCTCTTCCTGGACCCTTCTCTATTTGTCAAGGCTACGACCTCGTGAGGACAGGCTGATGCCATGGAGGCATTAACTTGGGTGGGTGGTAAGTGGCCTCTGAGGTCTCTGTGGAACAGCGTCTCTTCACCACCCCAGCCAGCTGCCAACCACGACTGGTAGTGGAGCCGCCTTCTCCATTAGTATCATGATTTTTACAGAGAAAAGAGCCTCATTGTCAGGGATGGGTGTGGGGGCCCATGACTAGCTAGAGCCAGCCAGCCTGAGGACCCTGAAGAGGCCACCACAAATTGTTCTAGGATGAACAGAAAAAAGGGGGCCTGAGAGTAAGACAAGAGCCTGACCCAGGCAGAACGGCGCCAGGAGACAAGAGCCTTGTCCTGCCCTCCGCCCCTCCTTCTGCCACTGCAGAACACAGTGTGCGCTGTGGGTATGTAGGGAGGGGGCCCGCGACCGTCAGTCTCAGTTAAGAAACACGCTCTCCACTCACAGATTCCACCCGGAGGACAGGTATTCAAGGGGACCAAGGCCAGCAACCTTCAGGAATAGCTCCACCCCGTAGACTGTGAACAGGAGGAGGCAGTTAGCAGGGGCCCCAACCACAGCCTCTCCCACATGTGGACCTGCTTGGTCTCCCTCTGAGGCTCTTCTGAGGTCTCCAGCCTCCCCCACAGGTCATGTCACACCCATACCCCATTGTGAGTGTACAGCCTCCAGAGGGGCCCAGCCCAGGTCAACTGGGACTACTTGCTTAAGAGGAGGTACCCCCGCCCCCTCTTTGGGAATGGCCCAGTCATCTGTCCATCGACCAGATAGTTCCTGAGCACCTTTCCCGTGCTTGGCACTGTGTTGGATGTGCAGCAGTGCACAATGCAGCACAGCACACACTTGCATGTTGCTTAGGGTCCAGACAGGAGGAAACATGGTGCTTAGCACTCAGGGATGTTTAGATATAAAGGAGGAGGAAGACTATCGGACAGTGCAGTGGGGGGTGGGGGGTGGGGGAGGTGGGGGGGGTGGCGCAGGGCGTGAGTGCACCAGGCAGAGAAAGCAGCCTGTACAAAGAGTCAGGGTAAGAAGGGGCACCAGCGGTGGGGAGCAGGTCACTGTTCAGGAGGGCTGTGGGCCAGGACAAGGGTGGGGTGCTGGTGGGGGGGCAGTGAGAGAGGATGCTGAGCGACCCCGTGCAGCCAGGCAGTGTGAGTTACATCCAGGATGAAAGAGTTTTAGGTGGGGGTGGGATGGAATCAGACTCCATTTCTGCTCCATTCTCATCAAGCCTCCCCATTTTGGAGAAGAGCCATGAGGCCCTCAAGCAAATGCAAGTTCTCCCTAGCCAGGGTTTAAAACCTGTAGTTCAGGGATGCCTGGGTGGCTCAGTGGTTTAGCACCTGCCTTCAGCCCAGGGTGTGATCCTGGAGACCCAGAATCGAGTCCCACATCGGGCTCCCTGCATGGAGCCTGCTTCTCCCTCTGCCTGTGTCTCTGCCTCTCTCTCTGTGTGTGTCTCTCATGAATAAATAAATACAATCTTAAATAAATAAATAAATAAATAAATAAATAAATAAATAAATAAAACCTGTAGTTCAGCAAAGCCACATCAGAAACCTACTAGTCAGAAAGACGACATAACTCCACGGCACGTGCTTAGAGAAGAAGTTCCCGCCTGTAAGACAAGAAGCAGGAGGTCAAGCGGTGGGGCCAGGAGTGCCCACAGGACAGGCTGGTCCCCTAGCCAGGACTCACCTTTCAGCATGAAGGTCTCCACGAGGATCCAGACCCCATTGACAGCCACCACCAAGTCTGCAAACAGGCCCATAATAGAGAAAGAAAGCACAGATGGGTGTGCAAATCCATAGCTCACAGCTGCCGCCCCCCTGGCTACCCTCCTGGCAGCCCTAGGAGATTCTCTGCACACCCACGTGATAGATGATGGCTTCTTTCCACTTAGTGCTTTTACCACATGAGCTACATCAACCAGTGGTTTCACTTAGAAAATGGCCACAGATTTCTAAAAACATGTTCTGTGTCACTGTAGGGAAACCAGTTGTTTCAGTAAAACCTACAGATTACTCCAAGTTGGTGTAAAAGATGTTGAGTATTAAAATGTTTGTTCGTTCCTAGAGACGTGTGATTTTAAGATGACTGCATGAACTAGTTAGTAAAATTACATATTCATTTGGCCTCTTACATAGCAATCCCACTTCTAGGGATCCACCCCCATGAGATACTAGCAAAACACAAAACAATCTGTACTGCAAGCCATTTGCTAGAGAACTGTTTATGAGAACAAAAATGTAGAAGTGCCCTAAAAGATCAACAGGGGATCTTTTTCCCTGATCATAGTCGGATCAACTATGACATGTTCACAAAATGGTAAAGTATCAACTCTAAAAAGAAACGAGGAACATCTCTATATATTAATGGGGAGTGGTCTCTGGGATACATTGTTAACTGAAAAAAAGCAAGGTGGAAAAAGTGTATAGGTATTGTCATTGATTTAAGACATGGGGATAGACATCCATATGCATCTATTTATAGTTTTTATAAAATGGAAGAAGAGACCAAAAAAAAAGTTACCCAGTGGAGGAGGTCTGACAGGATGTAAACGATGTATCCTTAAACATATTTTTATAGATCTGACTTGGAACCACATAGATAATTTACGTAAGTATAAAACAAAAACTAAATGTAAAAAAAAGCAACACCTGAAAATCAAAAATAAAATTAAATAAAGGAACCTAAATGCATATCCAGTTGGTGACACACTCACGGGGAGAAGAATTATTATAAGTGACCTTACCACCTAGTAATGTGAACATATGTCCCTGGAGCAGCGCTCTAGTTGCTGTGTTGTCGGGACTGTGTTGGACGAGTGTCTGGAGATGGTTATGAGTCTACTGTGAGGTACAGCAAATGAGTAGTTGTGTGAGTGGTGTTGGCAACCAGGATTTGCCAGTATTTTAAGACGGGGGGGTGGGGAGGGTATCTGGATATGAAAGAATGAGGGAGTTAGATAAAAACGCAATAGTACTGAATTTGAATTTAAAAAGTCAGGATAAACTCCCAATATAGTTTATCTTTAAAAACAAAAATCCTACCTCTGTCCATAGAAAGGCCTTGAAATAATAACCAACTCCAAGCAGTGAACACCTTTAGCGTTTCAAACTGTGGTCTCTAAACACCATTTCCCACCAAATGGAACCAGAGTTCCTTAGAAAGACTGAATCCAATCAAGCTTCTCCATGAGTACTGTCCAAGAGGACTTCCTAGGACAAAAGAAACGTCCTCCTCTGTGCTGTCCAACTAGTAGTCATTAGCTATATGTGGTGACTGAGCACTTGAGATGTGGCTCCTGTGGCTTTTTTCACTTGAGTTGCTTAAATTTAAATAATCACACCTGGCAAATTGCTACTGCATTGGGCAATACAACTCTAGCTGTAACTACCGAATGGCAGAAAATAAACAACAGAGGAGCATGCAAAAACAAGACTGAAGGCCAAACAGTCCTGTTTCTTTAACTAAATGTCACAAGACAGAGAAAGGGGATAGAAGAGAAACCTACAGATAGAAACAGACTTAAGTGACAGACCACATCCTGTGGTTCTGAAATCTGCTTCCAAAATCTCCAGGTCTAGGGAAGAGATGATGAGCTACCATGAGGGTACAGATGGATAGAAATACTGGCCATGGGGTGACAGCTGTTGAAGCTGGGCGATGGGTACATGGATGCTCATTATCATCTCCCCACTTTTATGCATGCTTGGAATTTTCTAAAATAAAAAGTCAGCAACATGGCTGCAGGGCTAATCTCTTGACTCTCCATGTTCTGGAATGGTAAAAGACTCAGGCAGGAAGGGGCCTAGAACTGTGGTATGTCACACTTACACATGAAGTACTGGAAGGCCTTGGATTTCACAAGGATATTAATTCCTATTTGAAGAGAAGAAATGTTAACATTGAAATCTTCATTGGCAAGTACACATTCCCTACCGCACACTTCACACCCATGAGCAGTCAGGGTGTTTATGCCCAGGAGTGAGGAAGGAAGGGTTTGCTCTGAGGATGACCCCATGCCTGTGTTCAGGCCAGACCACACAGCCAACTGCTGCTTGAGAGAGAGTCCAGGCAGCCCGGAGCCAGGTGGGAGCACAGTGAAGCTTTGTTGGCCACCACTAACTTTAACTTGCCACTGGACTCAGCCAGGAGCTATTGATTCATCCACTTGAGTAACTATCACTCCACAGAATCAAAAACCCTCTAAAGAATCTGGACTAAGAGCAGAGCCCAAAGCCCTAGCTGCAGGAGAAATCATGATATATGATACACTGTCTTTACTCTTGTTCATCACTGCCCACGCCCAGGCTTCAGCCTTCTTGCACAAGAAACCCCCCGCGAGCTAACCATACCCTTCCATGCAACTTCAAAACTGGCATTCAGTGAAGGGGCAACACCTGGATTTTAACATTTTGAATGTTATGCTGTGCAAGCATGACGTCAGCGATCATATACATGAGCTATTTATCCTTCCACAGGAGGATGGCCTGAATACACTAGTGGGTACAAAGGCAGATTTGAGAACGGAATGAATAATGGAATCCTACTACCTTTTTAAAAATGCACTTATTTGCCTGCTGGGGTGACCACACTGTTGGTCTCTCATACACACACAGACATTCAGACACACACATACAGGCACACCCTCTGAGCATGCTCTTCAAGTGCTCATCTGTGGTCTCTGGAAACCTCCATCTGTCCCCAGCTGCCAAGATGTCATATTCAGGTCAACCTTACCTTTGAAGATGAGGAATGCTGTTCTGGGAAGCTCATCAAACCAGTGTTCTCTATTTCTCTTTGCCTGGCCAGGAAACAGAGCCACAGAGAGGGGCTGTTAGGACCAGAGATCAGAACCTTGCCCTGGGGGCCTGGATGCCGTTTGTTTACCCTGCTCCCCTGGCTAACTTGGGCAACAAAGAAAACAGAGATCTATCGATGACAAAGATGCCAATGTCCAGGAAGCATGTAAACGGAGCCATGTCCATGCCTTCTTTTTGTATAGTCCTGAAAATAACTGCAAGTAGGGATCATTGTTCTCCCATTTCCCTGGTGAGACAAGCCTTGGAAAGGTTCGATAACTTGCCCAATGTCAGTGACTAATGGGGTCTGCCTGAGACTCGGTGCTCTTAACCAAGAAGCTACAGTGCAAATGTCCGAGCATATTGTAGGGGGGCCACCTGCAATCCTGCAGGGCAGGCAGCCAAGCCGAGAGCTGAGTTGTCCCAGCAGGGAAGCAGCTGGGTCGCTGGTGCGCTCAGTCTCATTCCCCTCCTCCATCGCCCCTCCACCCCCCCAGCAGTTAGCCCACCCTCTCTCTGATCTTTGGTCCCACTCACAAGCACTCACCTTCCATTTCAAGGCAGCGACTTCATAAATATCATAAAAGTCCTTCAGGCTGTTTTAAGCAACATGAAAAGGTAAAAAAAAAAAAATCAGAACCTGTTCCCACTGAGCTTCAGGCCTCCCTTGACCACCTGTGGTCCCCTTTAATGGCGGAGGGGACATCTGCGAGTTTCAGTACCTCAGTGCCCCAATGACCCTTACCTGGGGGCATTTGATCTCCTCCAGGTGCCATGCATCTACACTAACCACTGACAGCTTGAATTGCCCTGGGTTACTCTAATTCTTAAATGGACAGGGACAGAGCCGCCTCTAGCGGGGGACTTAATGGGATAGCTGGGACTGAGTTCAGCCTGGACAGAGCTCGTTTACTGGTGTTGCCATAGCTGGCCCGCTTCCTTCCTCAGGAAGAGGGTTCTGGTCATCAGCAGTCTGGAAGACCAAGATCTGCCCATGCAGATCTCGGGGCTGGTTCTGCAGGCTCTTCCAGGGGCGTGTGTGTGTGTGTGTGTGTGTGTGTGTGTATGCACGCACACGCACATTCACCCGGCTCACATGGGATTACCCCACCTCACTCAGGGCTGGAGAGCAACTGGTGGGGCCAGCTCATTTCTTTTGTGTCAAGCCAGCTTGGACTGGGCTTCTGTTACTTGTAAGAATAAACCTGATGAATGATACTATCTACTAGAAGAATCTCTGTGGAGAAAACTAGTCTCTCACAAGCTTCTTTGCCCACCAACCTCCTGGTACCTTGGCTTGCTCCAGTCCCTCTTGTGAATGCCTTTGGCCACCCCGCCCCACCTGGCATCCACTCTCACCTGAGCAGAGGTGTGTTGCTCTGATTCAGGGCCTTAAAAGTAAGATAACGCTCCCTGGCACTCATCCGGGGCCTGTAGAAGCGCATCAGGCCTTCAAACTGCCTGTAGGAGATGCCGGCGGGCCTCTGCGGGGAGAGGGCAGGTGGCCATGGAAACATGGGAAAATACAGAGCCCAGACTGCCCCTTCCGTTGGTGGCAGCTACTCTGGATGCCCAGGACAGCAAAGGATCCCGGGGCACACTACTCTTTCTTGTTCTCTCAGGGGCAGAACTCCTGGTTTCTAAAGCTGCTGGCCCTGCGTGTCTAGGGGACTGTTCAGGGCAAGTGAAGGGCAACAGGGACCACACCCCTCCCTGGTCCGGCCCCCACCCCTCCATACCCGTTGGCTGATGAGCAGGCGGTAGGCATGCTGGATGGCGGTTCGCTTATGCAGCAGCAAAGACTTGAACTTGCGTTTCTCAATATCATTGAAGGTGTCGAACACAACAGCCAGAAGCTATAAGGGAAGAACACGGGACTTGGCTCCCCTGCGTGGTGGGGTCTCAAGGAATGGGGGAGTTCCAGCCACCCCACAAGGGGGGCCTGAGAAGACCCTCCAACCTGCCCCTCGCATATGAGGCTTATTCCCTAAGCATCAGCAGAGGAAGGCCATCCACTATCACTTGCAAATTTTCTCTCTTGGGATACATAAAGTCATTATTATACATTCCCCCGGTGCTTCTCTGCGCCTGAGCTCGTGACTGGCTGGGCAGGTATTCTAAGGTGAAGCATCAAGAGAAACACACTGGGTTCTACACCCGATTCCCCCATATGACAGCCGGGGAGCCGAGGGCCATCCCAGCCTCAGAGCAGGAAGGAACAGCATGGCACAGAGTGCTTCTACCTGCACACCCTTGTTCCTGGTCCCGATGAGCCACAGCTTCATGCATTGGCCCCAGAACTCAGAGTGGTGGGGTAGCCTGCCCTCCAGGGCACAACATGCCTAGGCTGCCTAATTCTAGAGCTGGCATATTAACGACGCAGTCTGCATTGTCAAAGGGTGATGGGGGGGGGCAGGAGCAGAATTAAAAGAAGGCTTTTTGGGGAAACACTTTCTTTTTCTCTCAAAAATATTTTGAGGGAAACTCTCTTGTCTTTTCCATCCCTTCAAATTGATCTTTTGTTTTCCCCTTTAGGTCAAGGGAGGGTCAGCAAACTTTTTCTGTAGAGGGACAGATAGCAAATATTTTAGGCTCCGAAGGCCAGATGGTGTCTGTTGAAACTACTCAACCCTGCAGCTGTAGCATGAAATCAGCCACAGATGATGCGTCAACAAATGGATGTGGCTGTGTGCCAATAAAACTTTATTTATAGAAACAGGTGGTGGGCTGGCTTTGGCCAACAGGCTGCAGTTTGCTGACCTATGCCCTAGATTTTCACGACTCTGAGTATATTACAAATTAAAGCAAATCAGCTACACAGAATATATTTTTATGATTCTAAACTAACAACTGTATATAAGAACTCTAATACCTATAAAGATAGCCAACATTTTGATTTTGAAGAATTAGAAAAGGAAAGTATTTTCCTTTTTAAGACTTTAAGCTTTGGGATCCCTGGGTGGTGCAGCGGTTTGGTGCCTGCCTTTGGCCCAGGGCGCGATCCTGGAGACCCGGGACCGAATCCCACATCGGGCTCCCGGTGCATGGAGCCTGCTTCTCCCTCTGCCTATGTCTCTGCCTCTCTCTCTTTCTCTCTCTGTGACTATCATAAATAAATAAAAATTAAAAAAAAAGACTTTAAGCTTTTAGGACATTTTGCAAGTCTACCACAGGGTAAATGCTTTTTATTTCTACCCTGGGCCTGACTGTGGGGAGCAGTGTTCAGAATGCTCTTTAGAAGTATAAAAATAAACACAAGACTTGGGGTGCCTGGCTGGCTCAGTTGGTAGAGCAAGTGACTCTTGATCTTGGGGTTCTGAGTTCCAGCCCCACAATGGGTGTAGAGATTACTTAAAAATAAAATTTTTTAGGGCACGTGGGTAGCTCAGTGGTTGAACATCTGCCTTTGGCTCAGGTCATGATCCTGGGGTCCTGATGGAGTCCTGCATCAGGCTCCCCACAGGGAGTCTTCTTCTCCCTCTGCCTATGTCTCTGCCTCTCTCTGTGTCTCTCATGAATAAATAAAATCTTTAAAAATAAATAAATAATTTTAAAATAAATAAATAAATAAACAAACACAAGACCTGCTAAAGCCTCTCCGATAGTTCTGGCATTGACATATGGTCTCCACATGGGCCTAATGGCTTTATCTTTGGGGCAATCTGCTGATGGTAGGCACATCCCTGCAGCCAGCTAGACCTCTGCAAACACCTTCAAAGTTACCAGTGTGCCCAGGGACTTTATGTTCTCCTTAGCAGAATGTATCCTGTAATGGATTTTCTAATGGTTCCCAATCAATGGAGTGGAAACAGACACATGGGTGCAGTAGGTCCGAGCGGTTAAGAGCCGAGCTCTAGAATCAGACCAGCTCACCTGGCCACCCTGAGCTGTGCAACTATAGGCAAATCACTCTGCCAGTCTGGTCCTCAGTTTCCTCATCTATAAGTTGAGAATCGTAACAGTAGCTCCAGAGTTTTTGTGATAAATCATTTATCCTCATATATAAAGCACTTGGCCCAGTGCCTGCCAACAGCTTCATTAATGCCAGCTTTTATAGTTATTTTATTTATTCACTTATTTTGAGAGACAGTGTTCGTGTGTGTGAGTGGGGTGTGGCAGGGGTGGGAGAGAGAATCCAAGCAGGCTGCACACCCAGCACACTCTCGATGTGGGGCTCAATCTCACAACCCTACAATAATGACCTAAGCTGAAATAATGAGTTGGTCGCTCAACTGACTAAGTTATCTGGGAGCCCCAACCAGCTTTTATAGTTATTATGACACACATTTGGAGGAGAACAAAAGGTCCCAGGATAGCGTGACCTAACAGGTTAGCTCTAGTACTTGTGGCAACACAAGTACTACCCAGGGAGGCTGCTACCACCAGTAACCAGCTGAAATCAAGTCCCAATAGGGCATCTGCCACCATGCCACACTTGACCACAGCCTGGGACCCCTTCCTCAAAGGAGGCCAAGAGCAGCCCCTACTTCTCCCTGCCTTGGGTGCCCAGGGCTGTGCTGGTTGGGATGGAAGTTCCAACAGGGCGCAATGCATGCTCACTCACCAGGTTCATGATGAAGTACAGCTCGATGGAGAGGTAGACGATGAAGAAGACACAGGACCAGGGATTCCGGGAGTAGGAGGGCATCATCACATCTGGGAAACTGGATTTGCAGAGCATTACCGCAGGACCCCGCATCTGCTCTCTCCCTTTCTCCATCTTCCCAGAGGATATCTCTCTTTTCCACCTTCCCCTTGTCTCTATCTATGGGCTTTGAGCTCATCGGGCCACCCCCAATCCCTTGGCACCTGCCTGTGCTCAGGGGTGCAATATTCTTGGCTAAAAGGAGAAGACTCTGGGGCACTGGCAGAGGTCCCAAGCCCTAGCAGAGCCCACACTCACTTGGCTGTGGTCAGAAGGACAAACAGACTGACAATGCTGTTCTCTAGCGTGCTGAAGTACTGTAGGGAAAGAAAGCAGAAGAACGCATTGGCCTCAGGAACAAACCGCCATGGGCCACCTAGAGGGCCCCACCCTCCTCCCCCCTACCCCCACCAACTCTCCCTCCTCCCAAGGAATCCTGATGGAGGATGGAGGAATGAGCAAATGTGGAGTCTAGCTGCCTCTTCCTTCCTGAACTCTGTGCTTCTGGCAGAGGGGACTGGGACTATTTTCCTAGACAATCACAAGTCTGCACCACTGGCTTGGCTCCCCTCCACTGCTCCTTCACCAAATCTGTTCCAGATCTGATGCTAGGAACAGGCCTCTCAAGGACAGGAAAGAGGATTTCCTTGGCACTTAAGGAATGGATCAGCTCAAGTATGGGTGACCGGAGCTTTCCAGAGCCATAAATTATGCTGAGAGACCTTCCTAATGTGGCCAGGGGTTAGGCCGGCCACCATGTCTGAGGGGAAAGGCCCACATAAAGAAAGAGATAGGGACGCCTGGATGGCTTAGTTGGTTAAGCATCTGACCCTTGATTTTGGCTCGGGTCATGATCTCTGGGTTGTGGGATCAAGCCCCACGTTGGCATGGAGAGCTTGCTTAAGATTCTCTCTCCCACTGCTGCGTACCACCCCCCCACACCCCCGCCCCATGCATGCATGTATTCTCTCTCAAAAAAAAAAAAAAAAAAAAGGAACAACAGCAACTAAAGAAACAGACAAATACAGAGATTACTTACAGGGTCTGAAGGATTAGGGGAGAATAAGTAGAAGCCTAGGAGATGGCAGAAAACAAAATGGGTTACAGCAGGTCCCAAACCCAGATGTCAAGGATTGCAAAGTAGATGTAAACGAACACAGGAGGCAGAAGGAGAACATTAGGGAGTGGCGGGGACTGCGGCATTCTACAGAACACACATTCTGTCAACAGGAGCAAGTGAGGGCACCTGGGTGGCTCAGTGGCTGAGTGTCTGCCTTCGGCTCAGGGTGTGATCCTGGGGTCCTGGGATCAAGTCCCACATCGGGCTCCCTGCTTTCTCCCTCTCCCTGTTGCTTGTGCTCGCTCTTGCTATCTCTTTCTCTCCCAAATAAATAAATATAAAAAAAATTTTTTTTTCAGTATGCAAAGCAACAGCATTTATTTGTGGTTTAAGAAAATAGGAGGTAGGGATCCCTGGGTGGCGCAGCGGTTTGGCGCCTGCCTTTGGCCCAGGGCGTGATCCTGGAGACCCGGGATCGAATCCCACGTCGGGCTCCCGGTGCATGGAGCCTGCTTCTCCCTCCGCCTATGTCTCTGCCTCTCTCTCTCTCTCTCTCTCTCTCTCTCTCTCTCTCTCTGTGACTATCATTAAAAAAAAAAAAAAAAAGAAAATAGGAGGTATAATTACAAAGATACACATGCCCATGGTAAGCCTAGGTCAGGCGGTACCTCTGAAGGGAAAGGGAATGGACCTCATGAAAAGATTCAGAGGTGGTTTCCATTTGCTTCCTAATACTTCATCCCCTGAGTAGAAGGCTGTGGGTGTTTAACCAGTTGTAAAACCTTCCTGGACTTCTAAAACTGTCAGTGAATTTTCCTTCAACTGTGAACTTGGTTTTAGAGACTGCCAGGGCCCTGGGGCTCAGCAAACTCACCTAGGATGGCGAAAATGATCATGAAAAAGAGCAGCAGCAGGAGGATGTCCATGAAGGGCGGCAGAGATTGGAAGATCTGCCGCAGGTTGCTGGGGAGAAAGCAGGGCAGGAAGGGGTGAGGTAGGCAGGATGAGGTCCAAGGGAGTGCTGTCTGGGACTCCACAGATGAGATGGGGGCCTGGAACTCCTGGTTCACACAACGCTAAGTCCCACTGCACCCTGATTTATGGCATCACACTTGGCGTTTTCCCGGAGGACTTGCACTCCAGGGGTGCTGGAGAGGCCCGGGGCAGGTGTGGCACCAGCAGCCCCTCCTCCTGCTTGTGGAGCTCAAACAGGCCAGAGCCCTGTAAGGAATGAAGGGAACAGCAGAAGGCCAAGTGCATGGCCTTGGGCACAAAGCTTCCCTAAGTGGGATGTGGGATGCATGAAGACATTTCGGGGCCACCTACTCTTCGGACACTTGTTTCCAACTTTGAGGATGGGCCTGAAGAATGAACCACTAGCCTGCTCTCATCAACAGTACCTCAGCCAAGAGGTTTTCTAGATGGATTCTTCAGAACTAAGCTTAACTCCAGGCCAGTGGGCAGGCTGAGTCCAGCCTCCTGCCTCAGTCGGGGTGGTAGCCTGCTGAGTCACTTGGACTTTGAGGAGCTGCCTGCTTTCAACTGCCACCGCTGCCATGTTTCATGAGCAAATAATGTGCTCAGAGAGAGAAGACAGCTCCAGAAGGCTGCAGGTAATACGGGAAAGAGCCCTAGCCTGGTGCCAGGAAACCAGAATCTGAGTGGAGTACTGCTTTCCGCTCCGTGTGGGCAGAGTGGCCAAGGGAAGGGAGCGTGCTTGTATTCTCCCAGCGTGCAGGACTGATCTTATCACTACTTGACTCACTGAGTCCTGCCCCGCAGGCTCAGAGGTCCAGACCAGGCCAGGATAGCGACTTTCTCATCCCCCAGGCCTTACCGCCGGACGCCCCCGCAGTACCGACAGTCCACCAGGAAAATGCAGCGCAGCGCCCGGGTCACACGCACGTGGGACGTCTGCCGTACCAACACCACGATGGCCTCGATGAACTGCACCACCAGCACGGAGGTCTGGGGGTAGACAGGCACAGAGCACCATCAGCCCCTCCAACCCAGCGCCCCCATCCCGAATACCCTGAACAGAGGGCTGGCCAGGTCCTGCCCACTCTGGCCTTGAGAGGCCCTTCCCTTCTCTCCAGTTCTCTCTCAGGCCTCCCCCAACATCAAGCAGCCCCTGGAGACAAGCCCTCTGACTACAGGCACAGATGTGGAGCCCCAGGAGAACAAACCCACAGGCAGAGCTCCCAGCAGCTCATCCAGCAGTACCCCGAGCGAAGCTGCCACTCTGTCCGGTCATGTCTGCCCACCCTCTGCCTTTAGCTCTCCCCACACTCCTGAGGTCCGCAGGGCATCCTTATCTGTCGTTCCTTGGGCACATTCTCCTGGACAAGGGTGTGTGCTTTGTACACAGCAAAGTGTGCCCTGCCACATTCCTACTCACTGCACAGAGGGAGCTGTATGTAGGTTACTAGTTACTGATCAGCATGGGCTTAGAGGCCAGACAAGCCTGGGTCTGAATCCCAAGCCTCTGGGATTTAGATCCCATTCTCATCTGGCTGGCAGGGTGTAAACTGGGAACAGTAACACATCTCCCGCAAAGGCTGTTGTGCCAATGCTTGGCACACACTAGATGCTAAATCACAGTGGCTCCTGTCAGCATCATCATGACATCTGGACAAGGCTTTTAGATTTGGTGAGGACAGGGCTCCAGGGTCACACTGCTGAACACAGGGCTCAGCCCAAGGGGATGTGGAATTAAACTGACAATACAGGCTTGAAGGTGACAATGGAAGAAAATGCCAAATGGAAATGGACACATCACCTTGACCATGGTCCGTTTATGCCGGATGAAGGTATGGAGGCCCAGCCACCGCAATTTCATGCAGAGTTCAAACACAACCACCATCAGGGCAAACAGCTCCAGGGTCGCATGGACCTGCAACCAAAGGGTATGGAGGAGATGTGGCATCACCAGCCTCACTGTCTCCCCGACTGGTGGTCACACCCAGCTACCTTTCCCCTGAGCCTGGAGATGGTGGGTGGTGCTGCTAATCAGATGTACTGCTTACCTGGAGCAACATGTGGCCCATGGTCCCTAAGTGAGGCAATCAGATAGCAGTCCTTCCTGGAATTACTAGTGAGCCAAATCAGAGGGTGGGGACAGGGGGTACATTCATTCCAGCAGGGACCCTAAGCCAGACTGACGATCCACTGCTGCTCCTGAGGTCTTTATGACCACCAGGGCCTCTTCGTTTTAAATCCGCTCATAGTATCTGCCCTTCTAGAATGTTCACCATTGGGTGTGCCATGCAGACACTCACGTAAATGCCGAGCCGGAGAGCAGGGACGGCAGGGGCCTCGCACAGAGACAGCAGCAATAGGAGCAGAGCTGTGGACAGCTCCATCAGGTAGAAGAGGTGGTTGTGTGCGAAGAGGTAGGCCGCCAGCGCTTTGGCGTTCTTGGGGTGGGTGAAGAACTTGTCGTTATTCTCGCCTTCCTGAGGAAATGAGAGCAGTGTGGGGATGACTCACCTCGAGGTGCTGAGAGGGCAGAGGGGAAGGGGAGGCCCTGGTGGATGAGCAAGGAGTCAGGCCAGAGATGGAAGAGGCTGGAAGGTCCAAAGTATTATCTTCACCAAACTGCACCCCTGTCAAGTCTACTGATGGGGCTCAAGAGACTTGCTTCTTCCTAAAAAACAACCTGGAAGAATCAAAGAATAGTCCAGAGAACAAACAGAGGTGACGCATGTGAGCCCCTTAGCAGCCAAACTCCTGCTCTCAGAACTGTGGTCTGGGGAGGAGCCAACACGGCTGAGTCCTGGCTCCCCACTCCTCCCTGGAGAATGCTGAGAAAGTTCCTTCGCCTTAGTCAACTACCAATGGACTAACATGTCCACCTACTCATACAGCCCCCACAAGACATTTAGGACAGTGTCTGGTGTATGGTGGACTCCCTGCAGATGTCACCTGTTATTATGATTATAAATGATACTAACATTGAGAAGAAAAGGAGCCTGAGAATACCTTTACTCTATATACATATATATATTTCCCTTCTTACTTTGACTATTTCACCTCATTTCCTAACCCCTGCAAAATGACAGGCCTTGCCCTGATTCCTGCGCTCCAACATAATGGGACAGAGGCTGGCCCTGACCAAGTGCTTACCAGGCTAGGCACCATGCTCAGCCTCTTACCTGAATCCTAGACACTCTTTTATTCCTGATCACAGTCCTCTCAGATGGGTGCTTTTATTATCCCATTTGACAGATAAGAAAATCAAGGCATAGAAGTTTCAGTAGCACCTGAGCTTACAGAGCCAGGCAATCTAGGTCTACACCCTGGTTTTGCAATTAGCCTCTGCTGATGCAGAGAATAAGTGACAGAGCCCTGGGAATGGCCCACTTGTGACTAGGAGCAGATGACACTGTAAGGCCATACTCCCTATTAGGGTCAGCGCCTTCTTGTGCTGGTAGTTGCAGGGAGGAGTCTTTACTGCCTCCCTGGAATTGGTGGGCACAGGGATGAGGGTCACCCCACCTCATCTGCTCCATCACATCTGCACCCCACCCAGCAGCCAATTCACAGAAATTTACTTGGTAATGCTCTACATACATTGCCTTGCTTTAGCGCTTCTCAATGCTGTGCCCTCCACCTCCTCCCACCCAACCTGGCCTGGAGATATCTGTTCATCACACCTGGGGGTGGTGCTGGCAACTAGTGTGCAAATTCCAGGGATGTCACTAGCCATCCTAAAATACACAGGAGAGGCCCCCACAACAAAGAGTTAGTTATCTGGCCCCAAACATCAGCAGTGCTGAGTTGAGAGATCCAGCTTCATTCACTTTGAAACAGCATGAACACTCAGCATAGACTCTTCCCACTAGCTTCATTTCCTGGAGGGGAGAGTGGCAGAGCCAGAATGGACACACAGGTCTCCTGACCTAGAGCCCTCTGGAAGCATTCCACCTGTCCTGGAATGAGGTCTGACTTTCAACTATTCCAACTATTCAGCTCTTCTGGAACAAAGGCCACCCCACCCTCCCCATGCTCAAACCCTATTTCGGGTAGATGAGTTGAACACACACCACAGTGATTCCTGCCCAAGCCACAGGCCAGCAGGAAGAAGAACTACGGCCCAGAGGGACACACTGTGATGTGGCAAGCACTTGAGCCTGGTGGGCTCTCATGCCACCCTGAGGTGGCTCCAGCTCACCAAGCCTGTCTCAGAGAGCAGGAAAGGCAAGGGGTGCTTGTGAAGTCTCACCCTGGTACACATAGTAGGTGTTTAATGGATGCCACCCTGAGGTGGCTCCAGCTCACCAAGCCTGACTCAGAGAGCAGGAAAGGCAAGGGGTGCTTGTCAAGTCTCACCCTGGTACACATAGTAGGTGTTTAATGGATGCTTGGTAGGATGAACCACTCCTGCAAGAGATCATGTGCCCAGGCCCTGGCTCAGCCTGGGGACTGCCCAATAGCTGTGAGGTGGGGAGCTCTGACCTCAGCTGTGGTTTGCAGGGTAGCTTTGGGTGAGTCACTTTCCTGAAGCCAGACACATCACTACCCCCATTAACAAAAAATAAAGACTCAACAGGGGCAAGCCAGACAAAGGGAAGAAACACCCCAGGAATCAAACAGTGGGCAAGCTGGGCAAGTGTCAATCACAGTCTTGTGATCTGTGCAGGACTGTGGTTTTTACCACTCCATGGCTGGGGGGACACCTGGAGTGGCCTGAGAAACTTCGGGTTTAGATTACTAAGAAATGCATTTCTAGGGTGCCTGGGTGGTTCAGTCAGTTAAGTGTCCGCATTTAGCTCAGGCCATGATCCCAGAGTCCTGGGATGAAGCCCTGGGAGTATTGGGCTCCCTGCTCAGGGGGAGGTTCTCTTCTCCCTCCCTGCTCCCCCTGCTCCTTCTCTCTCTCTCTCTCAAATAAATAAAATCTTTCTTAAAATAAAATTAAAAAACTTAAAAATGCAATTCTCAGGTAATGTTTTCCAATAAATAGCCAGGAATGAAGGTCTGGCTAGAGGAAACCACTGACGAGGAGGGGGGGGTTGCGGTTCAGGTTTGACCTCTGGGATGTGGAACTACCAGGAGAGACAGGTCTCCACCACCAAGGCTAGAGTGAAATATTACTCATGTCCCTGGATTCTCATCCAAACCCCAAGGAGAACACTGGCCTTGTTTCCTCACTGCTGATCATGAACTAGATTACAAGAAATAAGAAGACAGGCCAGTTGTACGTGACTTCCAGCTTCGTTCTCTCTGCTCCCTGGGGTGGAAGTCCACCCAGGAAACCAGGTCTGTCTCAGAGGCATTGAGACTGCAGAGCAGAGCAGAGTACATGGCTCCCAAGGGTGTGTGAATCAATAGGTAAAATTTGGGAAGAGAGGAAACCACAGATACCAGGTATCCTCTAAGCAGCAAGGAGTCAGTTACCCGAGTACACCAGCCACCTGGTTCGGGGGCCATGCTGCAGCTCAGCCACAGAGCATGAAAAAGAAGACCATGTGTGACACCACCTACACCTACCCCCCAGAAACAGCCATGATTATTGTTCACAGGCATCTGAGTTCTGCTTTTCTTTTTTTTATTATTTCTTTTAATGATGCATTGTGGGACACTTGGGTAGATCAGCAGTTAAGCGCCTGCCTGTGGCTCAGGTCATGATCCTGTGGTCCCGGGATCGGGTCCCACATTGGGCTCCCTGCATGGAGCCTGCTTCTCTCTCTGCCTACGTCTCTGCCTCTCTCTGTGTGTCTCTCATGAATAAATAAATAATATATTTAAAAGAAAGAAAGAAAGAAAGAAAGAAAGAAAGAAAGAAAGAAAGAAAGAAAGAAAGAAAGAAAGAAAGAAAGAATTAATTGTTGGTAAAATAATTCAAATAACACACAGGATTATATGGCAGTAAAAATTCCATCAGCCAAAGATAATCACCTTTAACACTTAGGTGAAGTACTTTCCAGATGTGAGTGGGGATCTGTGCATGCACACATAGGTATATGTTACTATATGTGTGTATGAACCTACTTATGTGTGTATGGGTTATATATTATATATATATATATAAGTGCTATATGAAAATTATCCTACCACATCTGCAGTTCTGTAGCTCTTTTTCCACAACCACACAGCTCATTTCCAAATGGATACATGTAGTCAGGTTTGGAAACGAAGCCACAAAGTACAGAAGAAAGAGCATCCTTTGGAAGTGAGCTGGACATGGTTGTTTTGTGTTTTTGTTTTTGTTTTTTTAAGATTTTATTTACTCGCGAGAGACACACAGAAAGAGGCAGAGGGAGAAGCAGGCTCCCTGGGGGGAGCCTGATGCAGGACTTGATCCCAGGACCCTGGGGTCACGACCTGAGCCAAAGGCAGACGCTCAACCACTGAGCCACCGAGGTGCCCCGAGCCAGACCTGGTTAAATCCACACTCTGTAACTTACTAGCTGGTTGGCCTTGGACTCCTTTAGCCCCTCTGAGTGTCAGCAGCTAGTCGTAAATGGGAGACGATCAAACCACCTTGGTGGGGGTTGCTCACTCTCTTAAGGAGAGAAAGAATTACCGAATTTCTGAAGTCTCCTAGGCCATCCTAACTCTGATTTTTGACCCACTCCATACTCTTCTGCAGCATCTTAGTCAACCTTGAAGTAGATGACGGTGCACAGGGAGACCCTGGGGGACCCTGCCAGATCATCAACAGACACGCCTGAGCTCACCAAAATGTCCCCAAAACATTTCTATTGCCTTAACCTGGATCAGAATGCATCTGCTGAGGGGTACAACTCATGTGAGGCTGCATAAAACATGAGCAGCAGAAAGACAAGTGAATGACTACCAAATAAATATCCAAATGTAATGAAGTCTTTCAAAAGAAATCACAAAACATTGTGTGGAATCAGAAAAGACCCCAAAGAGCCAGGGGAATATTAAAAACGAAAACCAGAACCGGGGGCATCACAATGCCAGATTTCAGGTTGTACTACAAAGCTGTGATCATCAAGACAGTGTGGTACTGACACAAAAACAGACACATAGATCAATGGGACAGAATAGAGAACCCAGAAATGGCCCTTCAACTCTATGGTCAACTAATATTCGACAAAGCAGGAAAGACTCTCCACTGGTAAAGACAGTCTCTTCAATAAATGGTGCTGGGAAAATTGGACATCCACATGCAGAAGAATGAAACTAGACCATTCTCTTACACCATACACAAAGATAAACTCAAAATGGATGAAAGATCTAAATGTGAGACAAGAATCCATCAAAATCCTAGAGGAGAACTCAGGCAACACCCTTTTTGAACTTGGCCACAGCAACTTCTTGCAAGATACATCTAAGAAGGCAAAAGAAACAAAAGCAAAAATGAATTATTGGAACCTAATCAAGATAAAAAGCTTCTGCACAGCAAAAGAAACAGTCAACAAAACTAAAAGACAACCTACAGAATGGGAGAAGATATTTGCAAATGACCTCTCAGATAAAGGGCTAGTTTCCAAGAATATAAAGAACTTATTAAACTCAACAGCAAAGAAACAAACAATCCAATCATGAAATGGGCAAAAGACATGAACAGAAATTTCACAGAGGAAGACATCGACATGGCCAACAAGCACATGAGAAAATGCTCCACATCACTGGCCATCGGGGAAATACAAATCAAAACCACAATGAGATACCACCTCACACCAGGAAGAATGGGGAAAATTAACAAGACAGGAAACAACAAATGTTGGAGAGGATGTGCAGAAAGGGGAACCCTCTTGCACTATTAGTGGGAATGTGAACCAGTGCAGCCACTCTGGAAAACTGTGTGGAAGTTCCTCAAAGAGTTAAAAATAGATCTGCCCTACAACCCAGCAATTGCACTGCTGGGGATTTACCCCAAAGATACAGATGCAGTGAAACGCCGGAACACCTACAACCCAATGTTTATAGCAGCAATGTCCACAATAGCCACACTGTGGAAGGAGCCTCGGTGTCCATCGAAAGATGAGTGGAGGGATCCCTGGGTGGCGCAGCGGTTTGGCGCCTGCCTTTGGCCCAGGGCGCGATCCTGGAGTCCCGGGATCGAATCCCACGTCGGGCTCCCGGTACATGGAGCCTGCTTCTCCCTCTGCCTACGTCTCTGCCTCTCTCTCTCTCTCTCTCTCTGTGTGACTATCATAAATAAATAAAAATTAAAAAAAAGAAAGATGAATGGATAAAGAAGATGTGGTTTATGTATACAACGGAATATTACTCAGCCATTAGAAATGACAAATACCCACCATTTGCTTCAGTGTGGATGGAGCTGGAGGGTATTATACTGAGTGAAATAAGTCAATCGGAGAAGGACAAACATTATACGGTCTCATTCATCATTTGGGGAATATAAAAAATAGTGAAAGGGAATAAAGGAGAAAGGAGAGGAAAATGAGTGGGAAATATCAGAGAGGGAGACAGAACATGAGAGACTCCTAACTCTGGGAAACGAACAAGGGGCAGTGGAAGGGGAGGTGGGCAGGGGGTTGGGCTGACTGGGTGATGGGCACTGAGGAGGGCACTTGACGGGATGAGCCCTGGATGATATACTGTATGTTGGCAAATTGAACTCCAATTAAAAAAAAAAGAAAAAGAAAACACATACGTGCAGTATGAGAGCTGCTTCAAAGAGAAAAGATTACGGAAAATTATTATTCGAGTGAATTTAAGAAAGATTCCATGTCCATGCCTAAACCTGGTGTGCACAAGAGATGGAAATCTTATAGTGGCAATTAAAGTGGCAATGCCACAGAGAGTGAGACGGGCAGCTAAGAGGCAATATCCCCTTTGGAGAGCACTCGAGAACTGTACATCAAGAGCCCTAAAAATGTTGATTCCATCCATCTGGTAATTCCACTTTCTAGAGGCTTTTCTAATAAAATAATCTTGGATATTAAAGTGACAGAAAGAAATAACTCTCTGCATAGACTGTCGTTGGATTATAATTTATAATAGGGAAACACATAACATACAATAAGGGAAACAGTAAAAGGGGAAATATCCAGCCTTATCAGGATAGGTTTAAATAAATTAGGATACATTTACCAGATATAAAGTCATTAAAATTTGTTTATAGGAGTTATAATAACATAAAAAGAGCTTCTGTTACACACTATGAGAAAAAAGACCATATAATCGTAGATACCACGTAACTTTAAAACTACTTTACAAAACACATAAAACCTATGTATTGTTCTTTAAGAATGTTGGCAGTGACTTAAGTGAATGTTTTTTTTCCACAGCCCCTAAACTTACTGCAATGAGTATGTATTACTTCTATAAAGAAAGTATTTTGGGGGGCACCTGGGTAGCTCAGTGGTTGAGCGTCTACCTTCAGCTCAGGTCATCATCCCAGGGTCCTCAAATCGAGTCCTGCACTGGGCTCCCCACAAGGAGCCTGCTTCTCCCTCTGCCTATGTCTTTGCCTCTCTGTGTGTGTCTCTCATGAATAAATAAATAAAATATTTTAAAAAAAGAAGGAAAAAAATGTTTAATTGAAAGAAAGAGAGAGAGGAAAAGAAAAAACAAGAACCAAGTAAGAAACAACAAACATGAAAGCAGCACAGCAAATTAACAGGAAAGGAATAAAGGTGTCTAAGTTCCCATGCCAGGCTGACAAAGCCCTACTACAGCATTACGTATTTAAAGAACTCCTCCCTTGAGAACTGACTGCCAGTGTGCCCTTGAGAAGGTGGACCAGGCCAGAGAAGGTCAAGTGGATAGACTCAGGGAGACTCAGGGTCAGGCAGGACCCCATCCTGGGTGGGGGTCACAAAAAACCCATACACATCGCCCTCCCTGTCTGGGCATGATCAGGTTGGTTATCCCCATCTTACAGACGCAAAGCTCACTCACACACACAGAGCAGAGATGGGAACCAAGGCCTGAACTGAATTTCTGGGGATGTAGGTTACCCTGGGAACCCTACTTGGACAACAGGCACCCAAAACAGATCCTGATCAGAGATGCTCACCTGGAGGTAGATTGCTGCCTCTTGATAATTGATCTCCCAGTTGTGTCCCGTGGGGCTTGATGGGGGACTCTCACCCCCCAAGCCGAGGCTGGAGGTCTGGGAGTCCTGGACAGCATAGCTGCCTCCATCTGCATAAGAAGAGGAGAGCGATTCATTTACAGTGTAGGCTCAAGAGGATAAAAACACCATTCACCAGAAGAAAGGGCTCCTATGCTCACCTGTATGTCCCATTATCTACAAGTCAATGCTCCATCCCATGTAATAATAGCAGGAATTAGCATGGCTAATTAAAAATGCTTTTCATTCTCTTGTTAAATGAAAAACCTAGTTCAAAGAGCACATATAATATGCTATCTTTTGTGTAAAAAAGAAAAAGGGAGGAAAGAAGAAAACATACAAATACCTATGAAACAAGAAGGATAAATTTCCTTACAAGGGGTGGGGGGCCAGCATTAAAGTGTTACTCAAAGTGATCTTTCTGCATACTTCTTAAAAATTAATTCATTTGGGACATCTGGGTGACTCAGCAATTGAGTATCTGCCTTCAGCCCAGAGCGTGATCCCAGGGTCCAGAGTTCGAGTCCCACATCGGGCTCCCCACAGGGAACCTGCTTCTCCCTCTGCCTGTGTCTCTGCCTCTCTCTCTGTGTTTCTCATGAATAAATAAAATCTTTTTTAAAAAATTATTTATTTTAGAGAAAAAGAGAGCAAGAGAAGGGGCAGAGAGAGAAAGAGAATCTCCAGCAGACTTCCCACTGAGTGTAGAGCCCATGCAGGGCTCAATCCCAGGACCCTGAGATCATGACCTGAGCCTAAATCAAGAGCCGGACACTTAACCAACTGAGCCACCCAGGCTCCCCTCTTTTGTACACTTTTGACTTTTGGAAGTATGTTAAATCCTGCTTGGTTAAAACATAAAAATAATTGGATTTGTTCCCTGGTGTAGGCTCATCTGTTGTTTTTCCCTGCTGACACGCATACCTCTTTACTTCCAGTAATACTGACCCCATCTGCCTTTGGAGAACATCCTCTCCTTATTCTCCCCATCCCACCTTCTTTGTCTCTGGCTGACTCTACCCCTGTCTCCAGGGCAGGTGCAATAAAAGCATCTCATTCCCCTGGACAGGGATTGGTCCAGGCAGGGGTCCTATCCCAAGCCCAGCCAATGATGGCTGAACTCGGACCTTTTCCTAGACCACTCAGGAAGGTGGGGCTCTTTCCCTGTTGCTGGCGGGTGGCTGCCTCTGGCACCACCACAGTGAGGGAAGCCTCCCTGAGAAGGAAGCCAACAGAGAACAAAAGAATCACAGAGATAACATTAGTTCCAGCCCTAAGATTGAACTGTGCCTCATATCCACCGCCAAAATCTGAGCCTATAAAGATCCTTTTATACTTAGGCTTGTTTAAACTGGGTTTGTCACAACACTCAAGCATGTCTACTGATACATGGTAAACAAAGGCACCAAGAAATGACTTTCAACTTGTTAATTTATTGGGAAGATTTATCATCATCTAGGATGAGAATCTCGTTGCCCACAATTCACACTCAAACTGATCCACCTACAGGAAGATGAATGAAACATGTTTGAATAAGGAGACATGCAGAGGTGGCAGGAAGCAAATATGTAAAGCTCACCACCAAATAGTAAAGGGGAGAAAATAGGCAGAGTTCCTATGGCTGCAGGGTCATAACTGGTCCTTCTAAGCTTGAACTGCCAGCCAGGGGCAGCAGGATCCTGCAAAGCTCTTCTTCACCTACTTTTAAGAATAATTTTATTTAGATAAATTTGACACACAGTAAAATGCACAATTTGATATGTTCTGATATATGCACACACTTGTGAAACCATCACTACAATGAAGATCATACATCCATGCCTGGCCATCCACACCCAGACAATCCCTGATCTACGTCCTGTCGCTATTAGATGAATCTGCATCTCAGAAGTTTATACAGATGGAATCACGGAGCATGTGTTCTTTTTTTGTTTGGCTTCTCTCCCTCAGCGTGAGTACTTTGAAAATCATCCATGTTGTAATGGTGATTCGATAGCTCATTTTGGATTTTTTTTTGGCTGAGTAGCATACCATTGTATAGATGTGCCACAGTTCATCCCCTCACCTGTTGATGGACACTGAGACTGCTTCCAGTTTGAGGCTGTTTCAAAAAAAGCTGCTAGGAACATGCATGTACAGGGCTTTGTATGGACATATGCTTTCATTTCTTTGGGGTAAATACCTAGGGGTGAAATCACTAGATCATACGTTTAACTTTTTAAGAAACTGTCAGACTGTTTTCCAAAGACTGTACCCATTTTATATTACCACTTGCAGTGCAGGAGAGTCCTCATTCCTCCATACACTCAACCACACCTGACACACTCAGCCTTCTTAATCCTGACCATTCTAAATACTGTGGGATAGTATTGCATTGTTTTAATCTCAATGCTTTTATTTATTTATTTTAAAGCTGTTATTTATTTATTAATGAAAGACACACATAAAGAGGCAGAGACATAGGCAGAGGGAGAAGCAAGCTCCCTGCAGGGAACCTGATGTGGGACTCGATCCCAGGACCCCGAGGTCATACCCTGAACTGAAGGAAGATGCTCAACCACTGAACTACCCAGGCATCCCAATCTCAATGCTTTTAATTTGCATTAGGACTAATAATATTGATCATCTTTCCATATGCCTATATGTCATCTGTATGTTTTAGTTGAAGCATCTTCAAATCTTTCATTTGTTTTCTTTTTTGGGTTATTTTCTTATTTTTGAATTTTGAGAGTTATTTTATATATACATACATACATGTGTTCTCTAAATATACACAAGTCTTTACCTATTGTTAACATATCTACTCCAACTTTTAATTATTTCTTTAGATTAGTGATTAGAGTGGTTTCTTCCATTCTTTTACTTTTAATCTCTTAGTTCTTTATATTTAAACTGTGTTTCTTAGAGGCAGTATATAGTTTGATCTTGCTTCCCCACCCCAATCTGAAAATCTCTGCCTTTTAAATGGAGTATTTAGATTACTCACATTTAATGTAATTAATGTGGTTAATGTGTGTAATAAATGGTTAGGTTTAAATATACCATCTTGCTATTTTTTTTATAGTTGTCCCATCTGTTCTTTGTTCTCTTTTTCTGCCTTCTTTTGGATCACTGAATATTTATTATGATTCTATTTTATCTCCTTTGTTGGCTTAGCTGCAATGCTTTCTTTTGTTACTTAGAGGTTGCTTTAGGGTTTACAGGATACATTTTATACATTTTTAATTTACCACAGTCCACTTTCAAGTGGCATCATGCCACTTCATGCATAGGATAAGAATCTTAAAACAGTATACTTCACTCTCTCCCCTCCCAACCTTCAGGCTTCTGGAAATACAGGGACTTCCAGTTCACAAACCTACTCTGGCTTGAGCTTCATCTCCATTGCTAGGATGTGTAACTAGGAGAATGTGTGCTAGGAGAATCTTTCTGGAAGGGGCTGCACCAATGAAGCCCATATGAAAGGAGTTAACACTACTCACAGGCTCTGTGTTTGTACTCCATGCTGATGTAATCCTTATAGTCCCAAGAGGTATGTACTATCATAAATGCTACCGCAGGAGGAGGTTAAGCAATTCAACCAAGGTTACCCAGCTCTACAGGGCAAAGCTAAGATTTGACCCCAGGCAGCCTGGCTCCAGAGCCGATGCATTTAACCACTATACTATACTACCACCTTCTAAGAAAGAGGAATCTGGGGAGAAGCACAGCTGACTATGGTCTTTTTTTTTTTTTTTAAAGATTTTATTTATTTAGTTGAGAATGAAAGAGAGAAAGAACGAGCAGGGAGAGTGGCAGAGGCAGAGGGAGAAGCAGACTCCCCACTGAATAGGGAGCCTGATGCAGGGTTCGATCCCAGGACCCCAGGACCATGACCTGAGCTAAAGGCAGACACCCAACCAACTGAGCCACCGAGGCACCCCTGACAATGGTTTTAAACTAGTGGTAATAAACATTTATTGAGGCTTACTATATGCCAAAACCTATGCTGTGGCAGATTTTATTTTCCAAATATAGTCACAGCATGATCTTTCATTCTATGTGCTCTTCTAGAACCCTTCTGCTTCCCCACAAACAGGCAAAGCCCATGTCTCCCTCTTGAAACCAGTGAGCCTTTGTGCCTATCTTGACCAATGGAGGATGGAGGACATAATGCTAATGACTTCTGAGGCTAGATCATAAGGACACCATCACCTTTTTCTAGTGGGATCCTTGCTCATGGAACAGCCACCATGTTGTGTGGTGGAAAGGCCTGTGGAGAAGAAGGAAAGCCCCCTGTCCACAGCCCAGCTGAGCCCCCTGCCAACGGCCTGCAACCTGCCAGTCAGGTAAATGAACCATCTCAAAATCAGATCTTGTAGCCCTAGCCAAGTGTCCAAACTGACATTGCGTGGCAGAGCGATAAGCCCCTCCACTGGGCACCACCAAACTGCAGATTCTTGCACAAAATATCTCAAGGCAATATCTGCTATTTTCAAGCACTATGTTTTATACTCTGCTATATAGCAATAGATAATTGACACATATCTAAGTGCTTTATACCAACTGACCATGTAATGCTCATGACAATCCTATGAAGAAGGTACCATTAACCCACTTCAGACTTGAGGAATCTAAGTCACAGAAAGGCCAGGTACCTTCCTGAGCCCAAGCAGTGAGCGGCAGGCAGGGCTGAGATGCGGAACTGGGTGATTAGTTCCCCATCAGCAGGCTACGTGCTGCTCAAGAAATGGAAGCCTGGAAAGGGTGTCAGGGTAGTGCCAAAACGATGAAACATACAGCAGCAGTTCCATCACTTCACAAAGTTACAAGCAGGAGGTGGCACATCTGGCTGCAGCTCACCCTTGACCATCCTGATCCTTCTCTACCCAAGGCAGACATTCCCCGATTCCACCCCCAATGTCCATTTCTGGAAGAACTAAGCCCTAGGCAGGGACAGGAGAAGGTCAAACCACCTTCCTGGATGCATTCATGTAGACCAGGGAAGCAGGAGCCAAAAGGCACCTCCCAAGTAGAAGAAGCCGCAGGCAGACAGCTGGATGGTGCCGTGACTTCGTGTGCCTGTGCCCGT